GCAGTCCACTTGAATATCTCCGCCAAAGATTCCCTTTCCCTTAATGATTATAGCTCCCAGAGTATCTTCAGTGTTTATAGCTGTGTAGCAGAGTCACCCCAATCACTAGCCGAGACTTAGTGAAGGGTGAAATAGAACTGGTTTATTGTCACACAGGTCACGCTTTTATACCTTGGGTATAAACAGGAGATCCCCAGGGAGAACAAAGGAATTGCTACATCCCCGGTGCCTTAGTGTCTGTACCTGGGCAGGTAATTTAATTCCCAGCCAGACACCTTGGTATCTGGGTATCAAAACAGACAATAACTAGGGTTCCCGTGCCCACATACCCAAACACCTGGTGTCCCCAGGAAGCTTGTTTCAGAGCTCCCACTCTGTTAAAAAGGCGCTCGGATCGGAGGTTGCAAGCCCAAATTTGATGGAAGTCAAAGTTTCAGTGGGCCGTGGCTATCCTTCGATTTGGCGCAGAGTTCCATGACACTGGGTGGAAAGTCCCGGTCACCCAAAACAAAGGTGCTTTTTGTGAATACTTGCATCTTTCCCAATTCCCGGGTATCATTGAATGCCTCACCACCTCCTCTTTCTCCCCTTCAAAAAGCGCTTTGCAAAGTGGTCTTGGGACCGAGAACTCTCTAGATAAAGTGTTAGTGCACATCGGCTGATCTGCCATCCAAGACAGAGTTCCAGAGCATTTGGAGGTTACTCCCAGTCAGGCACTCTGTGCCTCTGGAGCCTCCCTGTGGGTTAACGAGGCTCACGAAGGCCGCTAGGGAGGGCGCTGGAGTGGTGGCACGGCTGGGAGGGGAAAAGACGGTGACTACAGCTCTTTTAGGATGAGGTGGAGGGCTAAGAGCCAAACACAATCTTTGAGTGACCGGGTGGTCTGTCACTTAAACATTATATGTGCCCAGATACCTTACCATTGCCCTGTAGTTGTCCTGACCTTGGCTTTGTAAATATAGTCTGTTGATCACATGCCTCACCACTCATTGCACAAATCTCATTAGTCGTCTTCTGGCAGCAAACTGGTTACAAAGTAGTAATCATAATTTTGCAGTTTTCTCGATAATCTTTCTAAACTGAACGAGTGTGCCGGGTATTTGGAGCCATCTGCTTGGCGTACACAGATATATTAATGAAATAACTTTTACTTAATTAAAGTAGATTATTGGCTAAATACACATGTAATGTTTTTTTTATTTCCGGAATGCAACACAAATAAGAAGTAAAACAGGAGGGGGGCGAGAAGATGGTTTCCAGACGACTTTATCAGGAACTTCTGTCTCATTCACCTTAAGTTACCTTTCCCTGAATAGACAGATTTGTTTGGGGCACAAAATCAAGCTGTTGGAAGGAGGTATATAAAACATGAAATAGAAACGTATGTGTTTAGGTTTTGCGCTGATTTGTATTTAGTGGGGGTTTGTTATGGTCGACACCACGTTTATTGATATGGTGTATTTTTATGTGTTTACATGAATGAGGCATACGTATATTAGTTAGCTGGTAGAGGTGTGGAAATACAGAAGTGTGTAGGCTAGGGGTAGGCAACTTTTAGCATTCCAGATGTTGTGAACTATCTCTCTCCTGCTTTGCCAGCATCATGGGTGCAAGAGCATTACAAAAGATGCAGTCCACAACATCTGGGGTGCCAGAGGTTGTCTACCCTTTGTGTAGGCCATTGAAATTGCTATTTCTGGTCACTTCCCACACTATTTTTATTAAACGTAACTTCTAGTCACCACAATGGAGGACCATAAAGGACTAATTACAGGAACCTGGCCTGAAAGAGAAACAGGGATATAAATAATACAACCTACCCCCGAAGCTGTGATAAAGGCAGCCAGAACTCTCAGCAGGGGGGCTGTCCTGTACATTTTACAAGTCACTGGAGTTCCAAGTTTCTCTTAGTGTTGTTGCTCCCTCTAAAGATCTAAAGTGCATAAGATCATAGATTAGAGAGTCACTCTAAGTACTATAACCAAGTTAATGTATTGTTTTGGTTACAGTACAAGAATGTCATGAGCCTCTCTTTTTAAATGTTTCATTCTGAAGGTACATACTCTGGGGGGCTGGGAAGCTACTGTGTATAGCACACTTTCCTTCTTCCCTCAGGACATTGGGACACCAGGGCGGAGTCCTAAGGGGGTAGCCTCAGTGACACAAGTTGTGTCACTAATAATGCCCACAATTGGTGGGGCCATACAGGAGAAGAGGCTCTCTTGTCGGAAAAGGAGACAGGCCAGCCTGAACGGATCCCATCTATCAGAACCATGCATGGAGTAAAGCTGAAACACTCTCCGCATGGTCCTAGTGGCTGCTGCACAGTGTAAGCAAGTGTACCCGGACAGTTCTCTGGTATCCCCAGATGCCTGACACCAGGGAACTAAAGAGGGACCGACCATGGGACAGAAACTTAAAATTGGAAATGTCTCGCCATAAGCTACCTGGGAAACTGTCTATTGGGCAGACAATATCAGTTGTGTGCAACTTCTGCATATGGTGTCACACACCGCATCCTAACCTGAGATGCCTTGGATAGGCTGCCTATGGCTGGGTGAGTTTTACTCACAGTGTCAAAGCTCCTGCCACCCCATGATCTGGCAATTTAATTCCTTGATAAAGAAAAAACTTCCATAGGTTCTGGTTTTTGACCTTTGATCATCTTAGCTGTAGGGCTCAGAGGAAAAATACAAAACGAAACACCACACAGACTGTTGTGAAGTTTTATCCCTTCAAACTGAGGGCAAAAAGTTGCTTGCCCCTCCGGTACTACAACTCCCCTGATTCTCAATGAGATGGAAGGTGGGGGATCCTGTGGAGTTCCCTTTGTGCCTTCAACAACCCTCTGTCTGATTCAATACAGGGCTAATCCATCCCGACCACCATTTTAGTCTCCACACAATTCTCCCCAATCCCTCTGTCCTGTTCCCTATAAGGTCTTCTGATGACCCATCATATTCCCCCAAGTTACCCCACTACCCGCCCTCTTCATCTTATTCTCCACAGTGACCCCATCCAGCCCCCCCAACAGCAATCTCTATCCACACCCACCTTTCTTCCCATATTACCCCCTATACTCCCTGCTCCCTACAGCACATAAAATTCCCCACATTTACCTTTAACCACCATAGTTTCTACTGTGACCCCCTCACCCTGCTCCCCAAAGTGATACCAACCAAGTCTGCTCTGCTAAGTAACCTCATCATAGTGTCCCCCCATAAGTGACCCCTATCTGCACTCCTCATCCTGTTCCACAAAGTACCTCCCACCCACCATGATATTTCTTACAGTGCATCAACTAATTATCCCTCCAAATACAAAAATTAAATGGTGGACAGAGAATGGTATGTGGTATTTGATGCATGGTGTTGAAAATATGAGAGCAATTTGAGTTTTATTTTATTTTTTTATATTGGAATTACATGGACAGTAAAATACGTCAGTTCTGTTACCCCTTAAAGCATGGGTTCCCAACTCAGTACTGATGTCCAGGATTTAGGGATTACCTTGTGTCTAAAGTGTTTTTTTTTCTTTTTTTCTAAAAACACCTTAGACACAACAGGACAATCCCTAAATCCTGGACTGTTAGAGGGTACATGAGGACTGGGTTGGGAACTACTGCCCTAAAGGATTCCTATAGTGTCATGAATACAAACATGTATTTCTGACACTATAGTTTAAAAACGCCGTTTAGGTCCCTGGCTTCCCTTAACCCATGATAAAAAGCTGATCTACTCAACTTATTTTATAGTGCCACATGGGCCTCCTTGCGGCTCCAAAACGGATTATCTCAGCCAAGCCAATGCTTGGAGGCTATTGCGCATGTGCTCAAAATACCTTACCAATTAATGCATCTCTGTGGGGAGCATTCAGTGTCTCCATGCAGAGCGTGGAAATGCTGAACGCCAGTGCAGCACTGACCCAGGAAGCACATCTAGTGGCCATCTGAGTGACTGCCACGGAGGTGCACTAGCCAGTAAACACCGCCGTTTTTCTGAAAAGGCAGGGTTTACATTAAAGAGCACCGTAGACACCAGAACAACAACATTAAGCTATAGTTATTTTGGTGACTATAGTGTCCCTTTAAGGACCAATAATATTCAAAGCTGCAATCAGACTTCAGTCCCTATAGATAAATATGGCAGCATGGAATGTCCTTCCCATTTAAAACCTAGCGAATCTATACAGGCCTGTCATTGTAAACTAAACAGAAGGTTACACTTTGACTGAAGATATTTAAATGCTGGTTTCTTATGACAATGTTTAAAGGACTTCATAACTTTTTGCACTTACTGTGTTTTACAGAAATTATTTAAGCATTTAAGTTTGTTTATTGCGGTTGTATTTACAGCCTTATTATCCAGGTAAAAACTGTATTTTTATTAAGATCTGTGGTGGTTTAATATGTGGGAGATGCTAGAGGACGAATTTTGTGTAAGCTAGGAATATGGTTTGCACTAGGCGTCTCAGGCCATAGGCTGGTGTACCTTGAGAATTGACAAGGACATGTTAAAACCATCCACTTTCCCAGCTGTTTTGGCAAAATATGTCATTTAGTGTGTAAACCTCAGAGTTCAGAGATGGTCAATAGCAGTAATCCTATACATTGGGAGCTGAGGGTTTATACAGCAGTACAGAGCTCCAACACTCAGGGACCCTTTTACAACAATGGAACAAAGATTAGTAGAATAACAATGGCCTGTCCACTCTGAATTGATTGCAAGCTCTTCAGGTCAAATTCCATGAAATAAAACTATTTCTTCTAAACAACGCTGCATGCCCAGGGGTCTTTCAGACTGGACTGTTATTTGTAAATGGAAGGGGGGCTTCCCTTTGCTAGTGCCCCCCCCCCCCCCATGGTCTGTGCGGTGTGTGAGTGATGCAGTGAGAGCAGGAGGAGGCTCCTGTCCCTGCAGCTCTCCTTGCCTGGCTGAGCCAGTGCTGCAGGACTCCTCCTCCAGCTCCCTCCTCCTCCTCCTCAACACAACAAAGTTACTTTACAGCTGCAGGACCCCGCCTGAGCTCACCTCCTCCTCCTGCTGCAGCCAGCCTCCATGGTCACCCCATGAATGCAGCCACAGCTGGATCAGCCATGTCCTGGCCTTGAAACATTCTATCAGAACCCCCAGGATTGGCTGCAACAAACTTCATCCCTGCTGGCTGTGAGTGTGTGCCTGCCGGCTCTCCATGGGTTAATTGATGAGCAGTGCTTTGGATATACCGAGCTGCACCCCCCCCCTGTAAACAGCTGGCATTGATCCCCCCCACCAACAGATTGGGCTGCCTTCTGTTAGTGCTGCATCATTAGGTGTGGGAGCCTTAATGAGGATAATTGCACACACATTGAGGGTCAGCATGCCTTGTGCCTAGTGTGGATCAGTGTCTGAAGTTTGCTGTGTTTATTCCCTGCAGCAGGCAGATTGGGATGCATGGTTCTGTATGGGGTGCTGCTGCTAGGTCAGGTCTGCATTGCTGGTTGTAGTGGGTGTGGATTTATATAGAGGGACCTGCATTAGCTTGTGTTTCCTTAGGAGGTCTGCCTGCATTAGGCTTAGCTAGTAATGTGCATGTAATTACAGGTTAGATGCATCTAGTTATCTGTGGCTTTGTGTTACAGTGTCGAGACTTTCTGTAGATTCATACAGCCTTCTTAGAAATTGTTTTAAAATCTGTGTTGCTGTTTTTTATTGTTTGTATGCTAAAAAGTATAGAAAAGGTTACCCATCTATCCTTCCCTCTATTGCAAAGGTTACCCAGCTTCACCTACCCATCCTACAAAGGTTATTCCACCTACCCGTTGTACCTGCCCCTGTCAGGTTAGATGTGAATTCTGCTTCTAGTCTTTAAAGTGCTGAACCCACATCCTGATGTATTTAAGGCCGGAGCCTGATTTGGGCTGGCTTCCCACCCATGTCCAGGTGACCATACTACAGGCCAGGGGTCTGAGGGCCAAGGGCAAGCATGGTACGAGTGATGCCTACACTCTGATACAGATAACCAAAGAAAAATATAGCACCTCGGTGGTGGAGAAGAGCACTGGCTCTCCAGAATGGAAAGAGGAATGTACTTTCGAATTGGCCCCTGGGGCCCTGGAACGAGGGGAGAGCTGCGAGCTTCAGTTGACCGTCATGCACCGTGCTCTCATTGGAATGGACCAGTTTCTGGGCCAAGTCTGCATCCCCCTGCAGGAGGTCTACAAGCAGGGGCGCTCCCTGCGGAACCAGTAAGTAAACTAATGAAACATTTCCTTAGCAGGGGCACAAGTCTTTACTGTACGCAGTACCTTGGAGGACAACGCTTGCGGCCATGAGTTACTGGGCCATGTCTCCTGTCAAACTTGCGTAACTTTTAAAGGAAAACCTAGTATTGCCTCGGCCGGTTATTTATTAACGTGAGTATGGTCAGTATTTTAGAATGAACTAAAAGAGAATTTCAAATTTGAGGCCAATATAGTAGAACTGGAAAAATTCTCCAAGTCCGTTATGTTTCCATTTAGACATGTTTTTAAATAACATTTGAAATTAACTTTGAATTCCAGCAAATTCTCACTAGTGAATAACCCTGTGTGCTTATTATCTACTAAGGCATACCTATGAGTAAATACTGCATTGTAGTGTGTTTCTTTGCTTACCCTTGCCCCATGTGAACAGCCATCTTGAAGAGTCATGTCACCAAAAGTGAACTTTTATATAATCTACTGCCAAATAAAGCTCTTTTTTTAATTTTATTTTTTTTCCCTGAGCACTCTAATTTTCATAAATTCCATAAGGAAAAATGGGAACCACTTTTCCATATGAATGCTGAGAAAATGACAACAGGCAGAGTTTAAAGCAAGTTGTCTCTTTAGTGTACCCACCATAAATAAGTAAAATCTGTCAGACTAAAGGGCCAACCGTGGACATTATTGGCAGAGGAGAAGAAAATGTCTGGGCCCAGATACTAAGATTCAGCACAAGGAAGAAAATGAAATATTAGAGGAATGCAACTGTCATAGGAGGTAGTCAAAGTTTTAAAATACAGATGGTGTAGGAGAAGAGAAAATTATGACACAGCCACTTTAAAAGTATACTATAGACATCAAAACTATTTTAGCTTAACCCCTTAAGGACCAAACTTCTGGAATAAAAGGGAATCATGACGTGTCACACATGTCGTGTCCTTAAGGGGTTAAAGGGATACCATAATCACCAGAACTACAGCTTATTGCTGTGGTTCTGGTATCTATAGCATGTCCCTGCAGGCTTTTTAAAGGGACGCTATAGTCACCAGAACATGAAAATGTAATCATTCCCTTCAGGCTTTTTGCAGAAAACACGGTCTTTTCAGAGAAAATGCAATGTTTACATTACAGCCTAGAGTTACCTCAACTGGCCACTCTTCAGACGGCTACTAGTGGTGCTTCCTGGGGGCAGTACTGCCATTCAGTGTCTCCACCTTCTGCATGGAGACACTGAATTTTCCTCAAAGAGATGCACGGATTTAATGTATTTCTACGAAAAGATGCTGATTGGCCAGGGTTGTGTTTGGCATGTTCTGGCTTTGTCCCTGATCTGACTCCTTGACAAGCTCAGCAAATCCAATGTGAAAGCATTGTGATTGGCTCTGAACACAATTTTTGATGATGTCAGCCAAGCACGCAGATCAGGGGCAGAGGCAGCAGCTACCTATGGGAAAGCATTGGATTGGCTGAAATCATCAAATTTGCAGATAACAAGCCAAGGAGGGGCCAGCAACAATGAAATCTGCGCAGCACTGGAAAAAAGGTAAGTGCAACACTGGCATTCAGCGTCACCACGGTCTGCATGTTTCAATGCATCTCTGAGGAGATGTTGATTGTTGCTGCGCTTTGCTGTGCATGCTCAGTAGCCTACAACTGCTTTTCTAAGGGGATGCATTGGAATGGCCAAGATCATAAAGTTTGACGCCAGCCCTGCGACACCGGTGGGGCATTGGAGCAAATTCACCTTTTCAGGGTGATGGGAGAGGGGCCCGGTCACCTAAACAGCCACCTTAGCCTTCTAGTTTGAGAAATAACTGACATTACAGTGCTCCTTTAAGGTAATACCCCTGCAGTTTTAATGCTCAATTCTCTGCCAGTTAAATTACTTTGTATGCCAGCCTAGTCACACCTCCCTGCGTGTGACTTGCACAGCCCTCATAAACACTTCCGGTAAAGAGAGATCTAATGTTTAAACTTCCTTTATTGTACAGTCTAACACATTTAGAATTTCTTCTCCTGCTCCATTAATAGCCTACTAGATCTTACAGCATCCTCGTGTGTGTGTGATTAAAGTTCAATTTACACAGCAAGCAATAAAGACTTCTAAAGTAAGGTCTGATTGAATTAAATCTTTATTTACACACAGGCTGTGTCAGTCAGTCAGGGGGAGGTGTGACTAGGGCTGCATAAACATAGTAATTTAATTCCTAAATGGCAGAGAATTGAGCAGTTAGACTGCAGGTGCATGATCTATATATCAAAACTGCTTTATTAAGCTAAAGTTGTTTTGATGCCTATAATAGCCTTTTTGGTCAGAAGAACTAATTGTCAAAAATAATCCATAAATCTAATAAAAAGTTGGTACCTAATTTCAAATCCTTTTTACCATACGTTTTTCTCAAAAGACTTTTTCAAATCGCTCATGGTTACGATGGAAAGGCACTTTCGATCAAAGACCAGTTAAAGGGAACCCTTCATGCCAGTTAGCACTCTTGCTCTTTTCAAAGCTTACAAAACTATGTCTAAATTTCTAGCAGTTTTGCAAGCAAATGAATAGCGTGGAAGAAAAATCTGACCTAAAAATAAGCCTTTTACCCACCTGTCAGTCAATTCTTTGGCATAGATTATTTGCCAAAGAATCGATTGACAAGAAAAAGCAGTGGTTGCCATGATAACTCCCTAGCCAGCATGTCCATGTAGCACAGGAGATCCGGTTTGGGCAAGTGTCCTCAAGCAAAACATAGAAGAGACGAGGAGGGTGGATGTTACAAGAAGAGTAAAACTCACAAAGCTCAGAAAATGGCAGTATTTGTACATAGAAAATGTTGTATATCCTAGCGATACATGATGTATTTAAGTTTGATTTAGGCAAAGTTCCATAATGGATGACAAGATGGCTGCCTATAGAACAATGCCAAGCCAGGATATGCACCGAATACAAGGTGTTGACTCGTATGCTTTACAATATTACACAAACTAAAAAATTAAGTCTTTTAATTAAAGTCCACAGTTCCCGTATTCCTCTTGCAATCTGTAGACCTGTTCTATTATACCATGTGATGACATCTGTATTAATTTACCATTGTGTTTGGTAACCATGATGAATGAATAAGATTAACCATGTTTATATAACTGGTGTGTGAAATCCTTAAACGACAATGTTTACCTGATCAGCAAAATGTATTAATGCAGACATAAGGATAGTGAGATTCTCTAGCCATTGTTAAAGGGTTACTCCAGGCAGCTTGACCATTTTTAAAAAAAACATTCTTTATTTTTGTACTGTTAGGAATGCATGGGGTGCGACAGTATAGGCTTCTGCAAAAATCCTTTCACAATACATGTCTTATGTAGGGATCGACCGATACTGATTTTCTTTTTAGAGCAGAGACCGATATTCTGTGAACTTGCAGGCCGATAGCCGATATAATTTGCCGATATTCTGTACATTTTCCATTTTGGAAATAAAAACTATTTCTAAAGGTAAATGCACAAAATATACATGCCACATGTAGTGGATGCAGTGTGTTTAGACAGGGGAGCTGTGTGTGTTTGTGTAGTGGGTGTAGTGTGTGTTTGTGTAGTGGATGCAGTGTGTATTTGTCTGGTGTGTGTAGTGGATACAGTGTGTATTAGTGTAGTGTGTGTATATAATGAAAACAGAGTGTTTGTGTAGTGTGTGGGTAGTGTGCGTAAAGTGAATGCTGTATACACTAAATGCAAAGTGTTTGTGTGTGTATATAATGCAGTGTTTGTGTAGTGTGCATTATATAAACACACTACACAAACACACTGCATTTTATAAACACACTACACACACTGCATTATATACACACTACACAAACACACTCCATTATATACAGTGTGTTTGTATAGTGTGTGTATATAATGCAGTGTGTGTGTGTGTGTATATAATGCAGTGTGTGTGTGTATATAATGCAGTGTGTGTGTGTGTGTGTGTGTGTGTAGTATTTGTGTATATAATGCAGTGTGTGTGTGTGTGTGTGTATATAATGCAGTGTGTGGGGGGTGGCAGCAAGCGTTTACTTATCTCCCTCCAGCTCCCCAGTGTAAGTATCGCGCCCAGCGTGCCGCGTGGAGTGTTGCCATGGTAACCCATGGCAACGCTCTGATGGCCGCGGGTCTCACAAGACTTACACTGGGGAGCTGGAGGAGCTGCTGGGAGGTAAGTAAACGCTTGCTGCCAGACCGCCGGTTTGTTAAGAGCCTGGCAGTCCTGGGAGGTATTATCGGCAATATCGGTATCTCTATTGGCCGATACCGATATTGCCGAATATCGGCCGGTTATATCGGTCGATCCCTAGGCTTATGATGTACAGAAAGGAATACTATGTTAGTTACTACTTGTAGCCATACATATATTGGTATCAGATAAGCATTACCAGAAGGTGCAGGTAGCTTTCCTCATCAAGGCCTTCGTTTGACATTCCAACAGCGTTTCACCCTTGGGTCCCATCAAACGTATGGGTTGCCAAGTGGATTACCATATTAAAAATTAAACATAACAAATTGGAACCTTGTAGCAGCTTGACCATTTTATTAATTGGAAATGGTTGTTGTATTTGGAGTCTGGATGTGTAGCTTTTCAGTAAGAAATTAGATTTTTGTGCTTGAGTTGTAATTTCAACACCAGCAGCCCAGAACTAGAGTTCTGGGGCAGGCGACTGTGACTGCAAGAAGGGTTACTTAATCTAAAAACAGTGTTTTTTTATTTTTTATTAAAACACTGATTTTGGTTTAAAATGAAGGCATAGTCACGAAAATATTTGTAGGAGTTTTTTTTATTTATTTTTTGGCCCATCTATCACTGGGGGCACTGTCCATCCCTCTTCGCTGCCAGAAATTAAAATTCAGTAATGATTACTTGCCTCATTTGCAGTGCTGAAACTTCTCCACTGCAACCGCCTGCTCCGCCATTCTTAACGTCAGCATGCCTGCTGATGTCTTCCACCATCTTCTCCATTCCAATGCTCTCATAAATACACATGCACGGCCAACCACCGTGCTACTGTGAACAAATGCTATGAGCAGCATTTAATTTGCGATTTCCCCTCCCCCACTGCCATTCACTCGATTTGGATGAGGATACATGAGGTGTATTAAACCCTGCAATGCACACCACTGCGACCAGACCACGTAATTGAGATTAAATTGTTTGGGTGACTTCAGTGGTTCTTGAAGTCACTTTGGTACCCAGTGCTATAAATATGGAAAAGCAGAGAGGCTAATCCAGACGTGGACCCCTTGCTCACGGTGCCTAGAGAGATATCAGCTATGCCTCACTGATGATGCCTAACAAGGCTGAAACGATCGTCTGGGGTTGCTGTATCTCTCGTGCAGAGAGAACTTGCTGGCATTTCTGATCTGGACTGCCCGTATGGGTGGGACCAGTCTGATATGTTTCAGATATGTTCTCTTTGTAATGGCACAAGATGAGCTAAAACCAGCTTGAGTTCTGAGCGGGGACCCACCGAATGGCAGGCTATTTGAGCTGCTGTCCGTTCTCAGAATACTCTTGCGACCCATTTTTTGCTCAGCAGAGAGGCTTTGTTTGCTCTGTGTGGGCAAGTAAAAATTGTGAAACCTGTACAATCACGTGGCTAATTGTTTAAAATTGGGTTACTTATGACTACATTCATAAGTAAAAAGATTTTTGATTGCTCCACATAGCAAACAAACACTGCCCTAGAATTGCTCTACATACAGATCTCCCATAATTGATTCAGGTCCAGGAAGCTACACGGTATGTTGGTGTCTTTTATCCCAGTCTCCAACAGTAACTCATACTTACTCTAACCAAGGCATTGATATTCACACCTGGCCCATAGGTGATCATTATCATTGCTAATAATAGATCAGTGAGTATATGTTATTCAATGACTATCAAGCTAGGTATGTCTTGTCCAAAGTGGATTATTAAAGATATTTTCCTAGAGTGAATAGCAATGACAGCCGAGCGCTATCTGTATTGTGATCATTCACGGTAGGGTAGTAACAAGGGTATACAGCTGTGGTTCCCAAACACAGGTTTCTGACCATATATAAGTGTGTGTTTAAATTATTTATTTACTTTTAATCACCTTTTTAGTTCCGGTCTCATTTTCATGTGAAGCTCTGTTTTGTTTTACATTTATAATAAACGATGAACATGTGAGTTTAGTCCAGGCACAGCCATAGCTGTTTTTGCCTCAGTTCTTCAATGGCCGAAAACCGTAATATTTCTGATGATGGACAGGGACCAAAGATAGAGGTTCCCAGTGGCATGATAGAAGTAAAAACAGTGGTGCAGATTTCGACTTTTTTTATTTTTTGCCAACTATATGGGATAGAAAAGACAAATTAGCTAGATATAGGAAACCACTCCTAAAGGGGGGGGTAACCCTAATGATTGTAATAAACAACAATGAAAAAGGGAGAATGGAGTGTGTTGGAAATGAGATATAGGGAAGTGAATACATTAAAACTTCACTTTTATTTGAAAATATATCCTAAAATACACTAAACATTATTGAGAAAAAAATATAAATAGTAGAGAGAAGGGAGGTTTGTCTCCTAAACCCAATATCTAGGGAGCGGTAGTAATCAGTAGAGAAATATCTTGTCTAATGAACATAATCACCACATAACATAGATATGGAGATATAATCTCTCTAAACTGCCACCACTGTAATATCAGCCCTATCTGTGCATTCGAGGGCACCTAGAAACAAGTCCCAGGACCAACTCTGTCTGAGAAGCTCCCTTCCGCCTAAAATTTTAAAATTCTAGCTGAAAAAAGAACAAAGAAAGATAATCCAATCGAAAAAGAGTCTGATGGCACTGTCAGATATAAGTGACTGACTGATCTTGTTGTTAGATGGGTATCTTAGAGCCCCTGATCCGTGTGCTTCGCCAACAGGCTCATCAGAGGGAAGATGAGCCTGTTGACAAAACGTGCGCGTCGGGGGCTCTAAGATACCCATCTAACAACGAGTAGTGTTATGTAGTGATTATTTTCTAGGTATTATATCGCTCCCTAGATATTCGGTTTAGGAGACAAATTTAGCCTCTCTCTACTTTTTTATATCTTTTTCTCACTCTTATTTTAAGAGTGTATTTTTGAATAAAAGTGAAGTTTTAATATATTCACTATACTTTCACTTCCCTATATCTCATTTCCAACACACTCCATTCTCCCTTTTTTTTTTTCTAACCCGCATTGTAAGGACATTTCTATGGCTTGAGGCACCCGGTGTGTTATATCATGCCCGTCAAAAACCTCTGGTATAAATTACTATGTACTGCCCAACTAGTCGGCACCCTAATATTCAAGGAGACCTGGATTAACATGAGACTAGGAACATTTACGCACCATATGATGGCCTTTACGCCAGTGTTAGGGAGACGTCTCAGTTTTAGTGTACTTTTGGAAAATGTTTATTTTTTTGTTATTAAATACTGGTAATAATAATAATTGTCAAAGGTCTTTTGACCTCTTTTGCTCAATCAGTTTTGAGCAATCACCATGGAAATCTGTGTAAGGTTCTTGCCAACTGCTCATAATTTAGCACCTTATCCTCGTATTGTCTGGAACTGCCCTATGTTTGAGTAAGATGGTGTCCATGAAGTGTTTCATGGTTTGGTTTAATAATGGTTTGGCTTTATATCTACAAAAAAAGCCCAATGTAAAGCAGGAGGGAGGCTGCTGAGGGGGCAGGAAGGAAAACATAATATTAATGATTGTTTGTTTATTACTTTTACTTTTCAAATGTGGAGTGACATGCCCATGGGTTGCCAGTAATTTTCTTTGTAGTAATTGTATAACTGTTCTGATTTGTTCATGTTTAGGATGCACATTATATTTATTTTTTTTATTTTTTTTCAATAAGTGTTTTGACCTCTGAAATGCAGTATCTCCCCGCTCCAAGGCCGATTTAAACACTCCCGCATGTGGTGTAACCAGACACAGATTACTCAGCACATCTGCTAGGAATAGAACCATTATGCAATTGGGTTAATAGGAATTTGGTCTGCAGGACATTTAAAAACATAAAAAATCTTGACAATAACTGCACGTAAGCAGCTTATTTATTTTGGTGGGTGGCAAAACATCAGACTGTAGGTTGCCATATTTCCTTGCATAGTTTGTGTGGCAGATAATGTATAGTTCTCAATCGGTTTCTTGCTTTGTAATGAGCGCTGTAGTGAATCCATTCTGGGAAAAATGTTAAAAATGTAGCAGTCACCACAGAAGCTATCAAAATGAATGTTCCTGTTGATTGCTCCATTTTAGCACATTTTTAGAGAATTTCTTCACTTGTGTATTAAAACATATATTCCTTTGTGACCATGAAATCTAAGACCAAATGGTTAAAACACTTCCACATTCATACTAAACCTGTCTCAAATGTGAATTTATTGACATCACAGCAGACAGGTTTCCCAGAATCCTTTACTTCTCTCCCTGTTTGTCATTCAGAATCTCAGCAAACTAAATAGAACTCAGGGGCTGATTACTGTCTGCGTCCTCTCTCAACCCTGGCCAGCAGGGAGTTTCTATCCGCTACAGAGTAAGGAAAGACATTTTTAAAAGCTAAAGCAAACAAAACCATTTTAGTAGATGCCATCACTGTTAATTCTCTAGGCTTTTTTTATTTTTATTTTTTTCAGCTATCTGATCTGCACAGCCAGCAGGCAATGGGAGGAAACTGGGCAGATCAATGGCAGTACATTCTATTTTAGTCTGCTTTTAGTGGAGTGGGGCACGCCGTACATAGCTGGTATGCATTGCTTGATGCAGCTTGTTCACAAGGCTTTCAACTTTCTAACGGCTTTATTCCTTTGTCTCAAAACTTCTGGTGAAGTACCTGGGGTCTATTAATTAAAGAGACAGCATACTTTTATTTTTCTACTTTTATGGAAGTAGTCAATCTTTCTATTTTTAAACCTACTTTAAACAAAATGAACATTTAAAAAAAAGTAAGGGGTTATTTGTCTTCATTCGTTTAAAAATGACATTTCTGGTATTGAACATATTTGGCTTCAGGGGATGACCTATTATCTGTGTAAAACGGTAATCTGTGAGGATGTTTGACCTACATGTCAAAAATTGCTTTAATTCTTTAGCTGCTAGTCAGTCTTTATGATTTTATTAATTGTTATTCAGAGTTCTTCTGAAAGTTTACTGAATATTGATATTTTCATTTTTTTTTTTTGCACTCTAATAACTGATCAGACGTTTAGTGGCTTACCTGCTGGCCATTTTGTTACCCTCACGCATGAATTGACAGCTGCTAATGTCTCATTTTGTCTGAAAGCACATTATTCTGACTTGTACCTGCACAGGACAGCTGTGTCTCTGGTTCTTGCACTACTCTGTATTATCAGCCGTTACCAAAGCCATCTCCTAATCCACTTTACATGAGAACTACTGGGAATGTCCTATTCTCACGTGTGTGCCAGTTGAAAAGTCATAAAAATTTGAAAAACATAACCTAAAGTTACCCAGTTTCAAAGTGTTTACCTTGGTGCATATGCACACAATGGAGTGTGAGAGAGTTTTATTCCCACCACAACATTGGTGAGGATATCATTTAGGATGATTTGGAACTCTTCTGTAAACCGCAGCTATCCTTCTGATGCTATCATTGTACACAGCCCATTTTACTGTGATGTTTGTATTAAGGTCTTAGCAGAGTCGTGCAGGCTAACATTCATGGAATGGCTTTTTCTCTTGTGAGCAGAGAGCTTAGCCCAAGTTGTGCGAGCATGCGGACTTTATGTCAATTTGACAGCCATTTTCTGGCTAGTTTGAAAGTATTTGAAAAGTATCTTCAAATTGTCAACAGTTTAATACTTAAATGCTGGACAGACTAAGCCCATGCTCTATAATGTCTTCAGTGTAACCCTTTTAAATGTTTTATTTATAGTCGTGGAATGTTAGGGATGCTCAGGTCACACCCCTTTCCGGTAAATAAAGCGTTAACTTGCCTACAATACAGCGGGGAGATGGGCCCTTGCTCCACTCGTCCCGCCAGTCCAATGTGTGTCCTAGTGAAGCAATGTGACAAAATGATCCCCTTGGCCCCTGCAAGTCTCATAGTAAACATAGTATTGGTCTTTTAGTCTAAGAATGACCCTTCAACCAGTCTTTGGCTTCTATTGAAAACAGAGTGAGCCTCTATATTAAAGGAAATGTTCTCCATATTTCTGCCTCGGGCATGTCTTACTGCAGGTTGCCAGCAAGAATGTGCAGCCCAAAGCTTAAAACAGATCCTTAGATGGCATATTTGAAAAAATATTTTTTCCAAATTTTGTTTATATTTTTTATGCAAAGTTAACCACCCTCCCACCACTTGTTTCTGTATCTTAAAGTGGAACGGTCATGTGCTACATTGCCACACTAAAACCACTTCATAATTAAGTGATATTGGTGCTGAGTGTCTTAATACAAGATACATTTATAAAGGTCTAGTTTGTGTTTTTTGCGTTCATTTTTCATTTCCATTTATAAATGGAATGTGTGTGAAGCTGGTGTTTTTTGGGTCTGTTACCTGTTCAGTGGTTGCTCTCTTCTTACTATTCCTGTTTTTATGGTCTTCAAGAAGCACTGGGCAATCACCTAGGCTCTGAGTACCTCCTAATACGTATGAACGTGTGTGTGTGTGTGTGTGTGTGTATAATTGTTTACTTGCATTACAAACAGGGCTTGGCAGAGCCCTGAGATGTACATAACTTTAACCCTATAATTCAGTGCACCATGCGGTATGTGTACCGAATCTTTCAAAATCCCTGAATGCTTCTGCTCTGATGGCAGTCTGAAAGAAGACACGGTACTTTCTTGAAAGATGCTGACATTCGCATGTAGAGGTCCTTTCTCCATCTGTGTTTATACTTCCATCTACTGCCCTGCTCTCTCCAATAAACACACCAGTAGTGTTGAATAGGAAAGTGCCAGTTTCAGTTTTTAAGACAATACATTCTAAAATGAGTCAGAAACACAGTGAAGGAAATGTATCAATATTTTTGTAAAAGTGACTGGGAAATTCGATCATTATTCTTATTGTATTTATAAGAGGAACCCTTCCTTTACTCTAGTGTTGGGAATACAAATGTGTCTTTACTTTTGGTCCTAGCCATGCTGCCTTGGCTATTATGATCCTAACTATAAGATAAGGCCAGGGACTAATGAAAGTATTTAGAAAATTGGGCAGACTAGATGGGCCGAATGGTTCTTATCTGCCGTCACATTCTATGTTTCTATGATCTTGGCTCATTTAAAGGGACACTATAGGCACCCAGACCACTTTGAGGCAGGGGTAGGGATAGTGCCAGGAATACAGCTTTACAAGCAGCATACAAGAACAGAGCAGCATGGAGGCAGAGGAAACGGCTGGATTGGGCTTCTGCTGCATGCTCACTTCCATCTGCCTCAGCCTGCACCAGAAATCCAAGCAAGCCACCCTCCTGGACACAAAGGTAACCTAATAGGAGGGTGGTTTCAAATCTCTAAAGGGTGACTTGTGTGTGGGGGGGAGGGGAGGGCCGAGTGAGTGTGCGCATGAGTGTGGGGGGGAAGGGACTGCGCGTATGTGGCGCAGTAGCTTGTGAAGCCACCTCCCTGAAATGCATTTTTGCATTTTGGAATGTCTGTTTCCCATAGGAAAACATTGTGAGGCTAGTGGGCAGGGGCGGCAAAACACTGTTCAGTTTCAATCAAATGCTGCTGAATGAGCATTTGATTAAAAAACGTGTTTGATTCATTTCTTAATGCAAGTGGACTACTGCTACAAGGGTTAAAATTACAAAGCCATTTCATTTTCCATTAGGGAAAAAAATTCTGAATATATTGCATCACTGAAAAAAACTTTTCATTTTTATTATTATTCACTCAGTCTTGCAGACGGACATCTTGTGATCTTTCTCTGTGTTTGCGCGCGTAGTTGCTATTACACAGGTCGAATGGGAAAAAACTAAAGACTTGTTAAATCTAACTGACCAATGTAGGCCAGTGTGAAACTATTCCCATACTAATGGGGTCAATTATTTTGGCAGTGCTAATATTTTTCTTGTTTCCAATTTAAATAACATGCTGTGAGTTTCAGGTAAATGGAATCCATTCCCAATAGTTGGACAATGCTGAGCTGTTTTGTATAATACCAGTCACATGAAGCTTGCTCATGAATCTTTCTAGTGCATTAGTTTAATCTGCCCATGAGACTATATCTGGCCCAAGTAGGAGTCCTATGAATAAAACAAGCTGTAAATACGTAACTGCTGACTTTATTTTTTAATAAGAAATAAACTGGGTTGGCCCACTCATCTCCCTCCCTTAGCTCCTGAGTAATCGCCATTGCAAGGCCTTCACGATGTCATTGCTGAGCTAGGTGTACTTTGATGATCTCTTTCTAATTTTTCTGCCTAATGGGATAATCTAGGCACCCAGACCACCTCAGCTCATTGAATTTGTCTGGATGCAGTGTCCCTGTTCCCTTAAATCCTGCAATGTAAAACCTTGCTTGTTTACAGAAATGGCAATGTTTACATTGCAGTGCTAAGACTGCCTCTAGTGACTGTTTACCAGATTGCCACTAGAGGCGCTTCCTGGTTTAACACTTTCTTGATTGCAGGTTGGGTCAGGTGAGGCGACTATAGTTTTAGGAATACAAAATTTTTGTTCCTTTAAGAGACACTCACGGAAATCCACATGTTTGGTACATAGTGTAGGTTAGGTTACAGTTAATTATTAGAAAATTGGCAATTGAACTTTACCTTCCAGTAACTTTTGTTCTGCCCATAAAACGGATGCAGTAAACTTTTTTTTATTTTTATTATTATTATTATTGTTAGGGAATTTATTTTGCGGCTGCCAAAGGATTCACAAAACTCCTAACATGTTTTAATAAGAAATGGTAAAAGAAAACTCCTTTATATGGTGTAACGTCTAATTTTATAACCACAAAATACTGTTTGTAGAAATAGCTTCCTGTATTTATGACACAGGAGAATTTGGTGTTGAGGAAATACTGCAATGTGTGTTATCTCTGTTTGGGAATGTGGTATATTTGTCAAATGAACTATGTTAAATATATCACTGTTAGAGTAAGCCATGTGTCAACAAAATGTAAAAGGGTGTGAAAAATGCATTATGTGAATTTTTATTATATATATATTATTTATTTGACATGCTTCCCACTTTTTATATGGAAACTGCTCGAGCCCATATTGTCTCCTGTAGCCTTTCTCTTCAGAGCATGTGATGTATTTATTTTTTAATGGTTTTTATATAAACAACGCTGGACATAATTTATCCTCTTCCCAAGTTTGCAAGATTCATTTTTTTTATTTAAATTTTCCAATAACAAGGCTTTAAAGGGCACATTTTTCAAGGAGAATGACTATCTATTTTTGTTAGAGCAGACAGTAGTTGGCTCTGTATATTTCAGAGAGCAGCTGATATGTCATGGGGTGTATTCTAACCTTGGAGTTTGCAAACATGTCGGGGTCAGGTTTCTAGACAGTTGGGAGAGATGTGCTTGGGAAGTGGGAGCTGGTGTGGGTCAGTTATAACTCTTCTCTTAAACAAGTCTGAAATCCCACAGCTGATGAAGATAAAAACAAACGCATAAACATAACATGAAGGTGGGCAGTGGGGGTGTGAGAAGGGGTCTCCCATCACTGCTGACACTTCCAGCACACAACAAAAAGGTGGTGTTAGTCCAGGGGGCATGTGTACTGCATTGCCACTCCTCATTATGAAAGAACCCTCACATGGGCAGAACTGCATGACCATTTTCTCACTCAGTGGCAAGGATGTTTTTAATATTGTATTAATTATGTGCCTATGCTGTAATTCAGGGGACACCAGGGATAGCAAAGAGACACAAGCCTGTCCTTAGAATGTTTTTTTTTTTTTTGTTTTTTTTTGTTTTTTTAGACTTATGGGTGTTTTTCTTTTGCCTTCACACAATATAGCAGTAAGACTGTCCACAAGACTGTCCACATCCATCTACCCAGTTTTGTGAGGGCCAAGTTATGTGACTAAAGCTGCAGAGTCTAGAGTTCCCTGGAACTGAAATAATAAACCTAAAATAGACATCCCAACATACAAAAATGCATTTCAGGGACACAACCCACATTATTATTTATATAGCGCCAACAAATTCCACAGCACTGTACAATGAATGGGCTTACAAAACTTAATTTTTCCTGTGTCCAACTCGATTGGTTACAGAGGGGTTGACCGCACTGACACCCACTCCCAGATACACACACGCACTTGCATACACGTGTCCTACTTTTTAAATTTGCAGCCAATTTGGTTTACATTTTCGGGAGGGTGGCTTGTTTGGTGCACCTGACCGGGTCCCTGTTTAGTAAGTATTGGGGGGAGGGGGGTGTCAAGCCATTTTAATATCCTGGAAATCGCACAGACAGACACACTGTAGGTCAGATTGTGTGTGTGTGAGCGAGATTTTGGGCATATTGTATAACCGTAAAGGTTATAGATGAGCATACCTTCTAGTAATGAGGCTAGACAGCTTGTTAAACAGACGTGTCGATGGTTACTTGTTTGAGTAAACTTGCAATAAAAGCAGAGAATGCTCTATATACCTTTTTATAGTCTGGGTACATTGTATAATATGATTGCTGTGATGTTGAGATTATCGGACGTCTTGGGTGTCTCCTATGATTGTTTGATTAAGAGCATGTTGGCTACACATAGCATATTGCATTAGTGACCAGCCTGGAATCCAGTTTGACTGCATTTATAGTGCCATGCAAAAGTATTCAGACCAGTTCTTACATTTACCCGAAAAAACTGTATATACATTGAACTTTATTTTTATTTATTTTATAAATATAGAGATAAGTCACTATATTAACATGTATATATTTGTGAAGTATTAAATGTACAAACACACTTCCTTTATCCTGCAACTGGATGCATCCATCTTGTAGGTCTGTACTTTTTAAACCTGGCTGTCTGCATGGAGAATGCATGCAGAGACAGAGGATGAATAATGCAGTTTCTTTTTTGTTCTATTTCGCTAGCAATTAACATCATAATTCAGTAAAAACATTGTACAGTCTTTAAAGGAGCACTCCAAGCTAAATAACACCCCTCCAATAAAAGAAGTCAAACAGTTTTCCAATTGTGGTGGGACCGCTGCCTATTTGTGAATTGCAAGGAAATGTTCCCCTTGTTTTCCCCTGCATTATGTTGTATTTGTGTGTTTTACTTGCTCCCCATTCGGGAGGGCTTAATGCGAACCGGGACCATCAAAGAAACCTAATTTAGAATGTTGTCATAGAATGCTCACACCTAACTAACGAGGTGTGAAAACCACAAACCGCAAGGGAAGCCTCGGCGAGTGACGGCCTGTTAGACGACCGCCATTTAAGGGGAGCATTCGTGGATTGTTTCCCTCCTCGTTCGGTTCCCAAACAGGGACATCCCCAGTGCCCTTGGAGTGTTGACACCAATCAATCATTTAGAACGTTGGCAACTTGCAACATAAGTATGAAACCACAGTAATTGACTGCTTCCCTGGGTGACCGCCATTCGTATAAACGGACAGCTGCCAGGGGTAGCATTCGTGTCTCGAACAAAGACGCTTCCCCTGACTGGGTTCACCCAGGGACCCCACTACTGGAGGCAGTTACCGTTCGGGGGGATCCCTGAGATTGGTGGGGTCTGTGTCTCTCTCTCTCCCCCTCTCCCCCTCTGCCCCTTTCCCCATGCTGGGACTCCCAGGTACAGAGGCTCATGGGATAAAGATCCCCTGGCCACCGGAGGTGGGAAACCCTGAAGATGGGTGGCGGGAACTGGGGACAAAGGAACTGGAATTCCTGTCACACTCACAGGCCACTGGGAGGGGGCGTGAAGTGCCAGGAACAGGGGACAAAGGGATTGAAATTCCGATTTTATATGGTACCTGGGAGGGAACATTGGTGGTCTGTGTGTGCTATACCCCTTGCATGGGGAAAGTATAAAGCAGAGTGTGGCCAATAAAGTTGTTGTGGTGTGTGTCATCCAGTTACTGGGGAAGATGGGTCTCTTACTTAATTTATAGCGGGGGTGACTAGCCGGGTTACCTGATGGTTTCACAGCTTACCTGGGATCCACGGTGTAGCAGTGACTCTCTACTGAGAGGCAGGAGTTCCTGCACAGATCTCCCGTTGGCTGTCTTGAGCTAAGCCGTGCAGGGCAGGGCCAGATCATTGGCTAAGCACCTCAGCTGATCACTCCCAGCCAATGAACTAAGCCCTGCACTGACGGGCTGAGCTTAATGCAGAGCGCTTTCAGCACCTGGCTGATGCCTTGTAAGTTGGCAAACTGTCTGTCATCGGGAGTGCGACAATTCACTCCTGGCACCATAATCACTACGATGGTGGGAAAGGTTAACAAAAACGATAGGTGTTTTTCAATGTCCTATTCAATGGTATAAATTCCTGATGAGTGCCCCCTCCCTAGTAAACTATACAGTTCTATCTGTGAGACATTAAAGTGATGAACATCTTTACTTTGAAGACTTTAATGTGTTTGGAATTGTTGTTAGAGCCCGATTATCTGGAAGGGGAGCATACATCCACCGCACATAAACAATGTAGGTCTGTATGGACATGTGACAAGAAAAAAGCCGTCTATCAAAATCAGCCATAGAAACGTAAATCTGGAGTTGGCTCAAAGCATAAGACTGATTTGTCTGATATGGGTAAAGGTTTTGTGCTCATACATCAACGTGTATTGCCTGGTGGTGGCAGCGTCATGCTGAGGGGATGGAGCAAAATGTATGACAATACTGTAAGAACAGCTTTCAGTTTGCTAAAATGCTGAAACATGGGTGAAATGTCCCCATTGTGCAGGATCACTATCTCAAGCAGAACAAAGGCAATAGTGTAACGTGCCTAGAAGAGAAAATGTGAATATACTACAGTAAGCCAGTCCATCTCGATCTCGTTCCTACTAAGAATCTGTTGCACTATTTGGACATTAACATCGACATTGTCTCTTAACGCAGATGTGTTTGCAATAAAAATATTGTTTTAGCATTGGTGAGTATTTATCATTTTGTAATCCAGACAAAAAGAATCATTTTCCAGGGGTCTGAAGAGGGTTTCAGGGCACGGAGTTCCTGAAAGCACACAATCACCTTTTAAACGTGGTATCAAGCTTTAATTGCATTTGCAAGATTGACAGCTCTGAGGGGCCGGCGTATAGCTGTAATGTATTTATTTTTACAAATCCATTTGGTCTCAAACCAGTCATGCAAATTTCTGATGGTGCTGTGAGTGACTATTTAAGTCACAGATTTTCCCTGAATCGAAGAGAAAGGACCATGTGTTGGGTTTGGTTGTTATTTATTTTGTATTCATTGTTCATGCTTTAAATTTTGCAATGTTTCTCTCTCCCCTTTGTGTTTTAACACATACCCATGACCGTGTCTCGCCCTTCCGCTGTGATTTTTAATCTTCGTATGGTGTCCAATTTTTATCCAAGGTTCTGTTTTTAATCTCGTCCAAAGTCTTATTCCACTGTTTTTGTTAAATTGTTGCTAACCGTTTTGACATAACTATAAGATGGTGCTAATAGACTCTCGGTCTAGTAGTGCTTATCTAATTTAAACTGCCCCGGCTTTGCCCTAAAACAGTTTGAGTTTACAGAGAGTTGGGGGGTCGGGGCGCACATACATTGAGCTGTTAGACAAAATAACCGGCGATGTGTACGAACAAGTACAAACTTTGTCAGTTCAGCTCCTGTAATATCCCCAGCACACCGCATTCAGGCTGCTCTGTTGTAACTCTACACATCTGTAGAACATTTCCTATAGTAATCCATTTTTGTTTTTGCAAACCTCTATGGTTGGGAAGGTTCTCCTAATAAAAAGGTGTCTTGTTAAGGGAAATGCTTGCTGAATTTGGGTAGGGTGATCTGCAGGAGGACATTTCTCATTTTGTGCATAATATGATGTAGATGCTTGTGTGTGTGTGTGTCTCTCTCCCTCTCCCCCTCCCTCCCCTCCATTTTCTCATTATTGTAATCTTTATTTATTAAATAAATCCTACACCAAGGATGTACACAACTGCTGTGAATTGAAAACCAAACTGAAAAATGTTGGTGAAAATAACCAGCCCACTATTTATTTTATTTTCCAGTTTGCTATAATCTATTACATAAGGGTTTGGAAAACATTACACCAAAGTATCCATTTGAACTAGCTTTGTCCCAGTAGCATTTCTAGTAAGAAATGAGTGTGAAAGTATCCATTTTGGTAAGCTTTGTCCCAGTAGCATTTCTAGTAAGAAATGAGTGTGACTGTGTCCTGTTTGGTAAGATCATCATACCTAGGGTTCAGAGAGATTTGCATTTCCCCCACAACATGGTACAGGACATGGCAAGTCTGAAAAATATTAGAAATACCGGTACATGTTCCCCCCTGGGCTTCTGTATGTTATTCCAGTGCTGGAAGAGTCTCCTTGCTGCACCTCCAATCCTCCTTCTAAAGTCATTAAAGGGGGTCTATATAGTGTAAGGCAGGGATGCACAAAAGGTAGATCTCCAGGTGTTTTAGAACTACAACTCCCATGATGCTATGCATGCCTTTAAATGACAATGCATCATGGAAGCTGTAGTTTTAAAATGTCTGGGAATCTACCTTTAAGGCACCCCTGGTGTAAGGAATACTAAGTTGTATTCTCCACACTACAGTTCCCTCAAGTCTGCCCTCTCCCAGATCACCCGAATCAGCTCTCCGCCACCTCCTCCACCATCCAACGGGGAGGACTAATTCACATGCAACGCAAGCGCATTAGGCCCTGCCATAGGAAGTGCCTCTAGTGCCTGTAAGGTTACTATTGCAGTTTCTGTAAAACTGCAGTGTTTTACATTGCAAGACTAAGTGGGACTGGGACACTGCACCCAGACCACTTAAATGAGCTGAAATGGTCTGGATGCCTGTAGTGTGCTGTTTATTTTTTTATTTATTAGTGCCTATCACTCATAGGGCACTGGATTGTCCCTTTAAATTAGCAGAAAAAGGGTCTAGAGATTTGCTAAATTTAAAGTCATGTTGACCTAATTACATAACATTCAGGTCTGAGATGGTTGCACAGCGTTTCCTAACAAGGTGTGTATGTAGACAGACTTTCCAAATTGAATTTCATGAAGTCGGCTGCAACTCTGTACGTACGTACGTGTGTGTGTGGGTCTGTATTAATAGACCCAGAGACCTGTGCCATGTACGTTGTTTGGGCTTTGAAAAGGTACCTTTGCTACATTCCTCTGTGTCAGAGCTTGAGGCCTGTTGGGATGTATTTTTTAATTACCATTCTGTTTTGCACAGATGCCGATGTCTGGGGAGCTATTAAAGCCAGATACTGTGGAATTGCCTTCAGCTCGCTTAGTGCTGGCAGAGCCAAACTGTTCAGTAGTCTGTGCCACCACTCACATTGGCATGACTGGTCCAGGAAAAGTGAAACATTTGGCCTATTGTTTTATTCCAGTCTGGACAATCTGGCTCGAGTTAATCCCTGCAAAGCTGCTGGTTCTCTCACTGAACTACGGATCTAAAGCTGGCTTCTGTATTTTCTGCATCTTGTGATCTAAACCATTGTACTGCGCTGCAGAACTTGTTGGTACTCTAAAAATAATTTTTATTGTAATTGTTCCTCTGGAGATACAGGATTACTTTCTGAAGCTGGCTGTTGTATCCTATAATCTGCAATTCTAGAACTGTGCTGATGGCGTCCACATGAAATATTTGTTTTAAATGTCAGCATAATCTAATCTCCCAAGATATCCATTAATGCTTGCATTGAGCTATGTGCGGCTGGTCATGATATGAATTCAGATTACCATCATTCTCCGTGGATGAAATATTAATCTAGTTTTGAAACAAACCAGCCCAGATTTTTGCTAGACAAGTATTATTATTATTATTATTTTTATTTTATTTTCCTTTAGGATTGAGGCTTTTGAAAATATTTGCTGCCACTAGTTTTTTTTTTTTTTGTATGTTTTGTCTACGTTTGGACTCTTACGTTTTAGTCCATGATTATTTGGTTAATGAAATCTTTACTAGCAGCATGGCATCTTTCTATGTTATACAGTAAATGTGCCCTCGAAATCCTAAAAGCATGGTCAAGCAGGCTCCTTTTTGTTGTCTTATGTTACAAGATGTAATTTTATGAGTATTTTGTTTGGTTTTCAGGTTTACCCGATTTCTTAAAAAAAAAATTTTTTATAAAATGTTCACAATTTGCCATTTTTGTGGTAGACCAGCTGTAAAAACATTAGGGGGGGATTATCTTTTTCTTTACACTTTGTTGTAAATTTACCTTGTTTTAGTTTCTAATATGTGCTAGAAAGAAGTGTAGCCTTTGTGATTTGATACATTTATTAAGAATTTAATTCCTTGTATGAGGAGGTTTGATAACAAAAATTCCCAGGTCGAAAGAGGGATCGATCTGTTGGTCCGTTAAAGGTCTATAGACAAATGTTCTTGGACCGTTTCTCTTTGGCACGTATTCATTAGATCATGCAGCTGTACCTGTGTGACTGACCCCAGACTCCTGCCATGCATATCCCAGCATGCTCTGTTAGCTTTCTTTTACCCCCTTAGATCTGCACGCCAGCAGTCAAGTTGTCCAGGTCCGGTTTTGATCAGAAAATAAAGGAAACGTTCTAAGCCAACTACTTCTCACCATTGCTGGGAAAATAAAACCCAAGAAAGACCATGATAACATAATCCTAGATGCAGATATCCCATTCCTTTATCCAGGACGTGTTGTTGAGCTGTAGGAGGCCTGGATTATTGGAATACAATTAGCTTGCCAGAGAGATTCCTGGCTGCCTGAAACCATCCATCTGGAAGGGGGTGTGAGGGCTTTGGATGGTCCATGGATAGGGCCGTGCTGGTTCCTGAGTAGGTGTTTTGATGACACTATCTGCTGCCACAGCAAGTTTTTCCATGGAAGACAGACATCCTCTCGTAATTGGCCTGGGCATCTGGTACATCTATTGTCACACTTCAAAGGAAGAGCTTGTTAGAGGGAACGCCCCAACAGACCTGCATTCTCACTCACTAGAAACATGCGGACAATGTCTCCTTAAGTCATACACATGTTCCTGTAATCCATTTCCAAGCTTCAGTCACTTCAAAGATCACAAGAAATAGCAGCTTGCTAGTAAACAAATATCAGGTACAAATTTGTTTTAATGTATGCTTCATTGCCTTTAAATGGAGTATGTATTTTCTATCAGGAGCCTTTGAATTAGGTAGATTGAACTATGGGATATTAATGTGTGTGGGTTTGTTTGTTTTTTCCCTCCACTTCCCTGTGTTTTGTCCCTCATTCTTATAGAGTGTAAGCTGATAAAAGCTGTGGAGTTTGACTACATTTCCCATTTTGTCAACATGCAAGTTATACATACTTTTTTCTTTTATATAATGTTTGAAATATTTTTTTATTTTTTTTTTATTGATACAGGGCTTCACAGGGGGATAACATGCACATAATACATTTAAAATAAATAAATAAACATTATTAACTTTATAATCTGCTGTCTTCCATACAGGGACTCTAATGTGAAGTTGCAACACTCCATTTATTACCTGTGTGCTACTTTATCACATGATGCTCAGCTGTCCAGGCACACTAGGAGAGATCGTGTTGTATAGTTATTAGAGTTGTAAGAGTGGAGTCATTTTCAATGGTGTGCCTGCTGGTTTAATTGGTTTCCATGGTGATTGCTCCTTGTTTAGAACTCTGCAATACTTTTCAGAACACAGCACTTTGATAAATCTAGCTGATCAATAGGTGATGACTGACCATTGTGCACCTAGTTCATTGGTGAAGTTTATTGCTTATTTATTTATAAAAAATAATTTTATACAGTGGTAACGAATTCCGCAGTGCTGTACATTAGGTATAGTGTGTGTGTGTATATATATAAACCCAGCACTCTAATCTTTAAATGCATTTGCTTGGGTGCAGTCCTTCCCATCGTCGCCCACTGTAACACATCCAAGCTGGATCTGGGTAGATATCCTTGTCTAGGAGGGAGGGAGCTTCAACAATAGTACAGGCCGTGGTGGCAGAGGTATATGCCGGACTGCATGCTCTGCATATTTTCCCTAAATTTTACAGTCCATTTTCAATTTAGTTTAAAAAAATTTTTTTTTAATAATAAAAAAATCCATTGTATTCTTAAAATCCTTTATGTGCACAGATTAAAGGAACTCTCAAACTTCCAAAACAAAATAAAATTTTTTTGAATTTGTTCATCACGATGCTTAGATTCAGGCTTCCGATTTGTTTTAAAAATAAAAAAAACATAATAAAAATGTTGCATGTCTGTTATCCAGTGCTGGAACACCCTGTTCTATAACCACTCCTCCCACTGTGAGATCTCTGATCCACCTGACACTTCTCTTAAAGAAGCATTGCTAGCCTACGGTGCATGCGAACAATAAATCCGGTGATTCTTTACGAGATGCATGAAATTTTTTGATGTCTTCATGTTGTGCGTTTTGTCAACTCGCTGTCTGACACCCACTAGAAGTGGGCGTTTGCAGCCAAATGTAAACATTGCCATTTATGAGAGACATCCTAGATCTTCTCTGGATTTCATGATTGTATTTTTATTTTTTTAATATATATATAAATATTAAATGTAATTTTAGGCCATGTTGCATGTTTACTGCTTTCAGGTTTTAAACTGCTGCTGTGTACTTGCCTTGCAATTTAAGTAATCCTCTTACAGTATTGCCTCTCGTCTGAGTCTGGCACCAGTTCTAAAACAAGATAATAATTAATCCTAAAAATTAGCAACTAGGGTTAAGATAGGTGCCTGTTGAGGGAGGATATGGAACGGAGAGGCTCATCGTAGCCGTGTTAGGAATCTGTGTGCTCTAACCCCTGTGGAGTACACCTGCCATGATCAGGAGCTGGCATTGGAGTTTGTTTGGTATTTTTTTTTTTTTTTTTTAAAGGCAGCTGGAGTGTCAAATGTTGCGTATGCTGCCACTAGAGTACCGTGCAGTGCAGGCCAGAGTATGTTGTAGAGAGGAGAGTACATAGGATATCTGGGAAACGTAGTGAGCCGTCCCAAGTTTGGCTGTTACAGCAACCGTATACGGATTGCTGCTGTTTTGATTTTTTAAGGGGAAGTTGCTCCCCAACTATGTTTACTTCTCCCCTATATTTATTCAACCTGTATTTGGGCGGTCTGGACACAAAGTTAATTCCAGATATCCACATTGCTGTAGTTAGTGCTATCCTGTAACTGGTCCCTCCATTTGGGCTCTGTCAATCATATTACAGGATTCATTCACTGCACCTCTCCATCCACATAGATAATTTATCCTAAAATGTTTCTTGGTCTCCATTGTAACTTGGCTCTGGTTTTGCCCGAACTAAACTGGATTGTGAGGTCAACTGACTAATCGTTACTATTCATTTAAAAGTTAACACACGTTTTTATTGGTGTTGTTCCCAAACACCATAACCACTTCAGCCACCCTGTTTTGATGCCATGAGGGCCTTGGCACATTCTCAGGGTAAGTAGTCAAAAATTATCTAGAGTTCGTTGAGAGCTCGTCACCTCCAACTGTGCCCTCATTGGCTGATGTGCTCCGCTAACGCTCTTGGCTAATGAGTAGGCCTTGCACAGCAGGACTGGATTCATTGGAACTAATCAAAGCTCTCTGCTGGAACTTTCAGCTCCATATGAGGCAGTGACAGGTGACCGCAAAACAACTGGTTAGTTGTCAAACTTTTCTAAACGTTTTGATTGGTCTTCCTGGGAGAGTGCCAGAGCACTCCAGGAACTGTAAAAACTAATGTGGATTTTAGTAGTTATTGTGGTTGGAGTGCTCATTTAATGGACTTTAATGGAGTTTCTTCTTTTAATTCCCAAAAGAGGTGGCTTGTGAGCAGCATCTACAATTTTAAAAATCGTTAACCTAGTTCCTTTTGAATACTTTTTTTTTTTTTCTCAGCTGAGAAGTAGGGGTTACTCTGTTGTGCCCAGTCATGTTAGACTTCTGTTTAACGTATCTGTTTTTCTGTGGTTTTAGCATTGTGTAAGTTAATGCTGTAATCGAAGGGCTGGTGTGCTTGCTTATCTGATAGTTAGGGTGATGTGGGTCGAGCCTGCAGATACGTCAGTCTTTAGTTAAAGGAACAGTAAGCTAGCCCTCTGAACACCTTGTGAGGTAACTACTTTTACTGTGAGTAAGAGGGAACTTTCTGTTTTCTAAAGGCCTTTTGCATCTCTAACATGGATCGTGTTTTCAGTCTGTTTAGGTGGGGCTGGTTTGTTCTGCAGAAATTTGCACATTGCAAAATATACAAATGGCACACTCCTGATTTTGGAAAATAAGGCTATAGGTGTCCAGAAAACCAATTTGCTAAGTGTGGCCCGAAATAAATCCTTAAAGGAACACTATGGGGCCATAAACACAAATGTGCATGCCAAACCATATAGTGTTAAAACATTTGTGGAGTGCCCCCTTAAAAGAACTTATCTTCTTTCCAGTGCAGGTGTGCTGACCCTGCCCTGATCCGCCTCCTTAGCTGACCTCATAATTGATGATCTCATCCAATCCAATCCAAGGCTTACCCATAGGAAAGCATTGGATTGGCTAAGATCGTCAAGGAGGGGGGAAGGGTCAAACGCTGGCTTGGCCAATCTGCATCTCCTCATAGAAATGCATTGAATCAATGCATCTTCGTGCATGGAGATGCCTGTATGTAAGTGCTGCACGTTGTGTAGTACTGCCCCAGGAAGCTCCTCCAGTGGCCATCTGTTCCCTAGGAACACCTCTAGTGGCCACTCCTCAATGTAAACACTGCCTTTTCTCTGTAAAGGCAGTGTTTACAGCAAAACTGCTGCAGGGACAGGATAAACTAATCAGAACTACATTAAGTGGTAGTTTATTAACCATAACCGGTTAATACCACACGCATTTTATTTCTCTGGGCATAATTCTGAGCAGTGGAGAATTAAAAAAAAAAAATCTAAATCCATCAAAATGAATTGTCACAAAGCGATAATTAAAGACAATATTTCATATATATAGATAGATATATAGTTCCTACATCTATCTATGTCTATATCTTTGAATCAGTGCATCTCTATATATCTCTCTAACCAAAAGGGTTATGGTGAAAAAAATTTTTTGAGTGAATGCCCCTTCCACCTGAAGTAGTTAATACAATGTTAAACAAAAATCTGCACACCAGTCAAGCCATAAGACTTGCTTTTTCCTCCGAAATCACAAATTTGCAGTGATGTTACTACCGCAAAGGATTCTGGATGGACATATGCAAATTAGTTTAACCAAGAATCATATTTTTGCCTCAAGTTCGCGGACGGTTAGCGACATCACTAGCTATAAAGAGTCTTTATATGATGCAGGATGTCTGTCCTTCGTTAATCAATTAGAAGCCACAGATTACCTGCTTTAATTTGTCTTGTGAGGTTTGCATGCTGCATACTACAGGGCAGCACTCTTCATGTGCTGCCCCTTAGTACCAAGACATGTGTCCAGGAAGGTCTTCACTAGTTTGCTAGCAGTGCAGGCCCAGATATGAAACAATAGTTTTGTAATACCTCTGTACATATGCAATACATGCACCGCTCTATCCCTGGCTTACAGGTTCAAGCTACATCAGAACAGGGAAGAATAAATTTTCTTTTTTTTCAGTATTTAGAAATACTTTGTACCTTTCAAAACCTCATGCACACAGACACCGCATATAACATTAATTTCACATGTTGGTTGTAGACCAAGACAAGTTGCAAAACCAAATTACTTTTTAACACAAGCGTTGCCGTATAGTATACTGTTTGTGTCTCAACAGTCTCGCTCGCAAACTTAGGACACAAGTAAAGAGTTCCACAACAACACTCTAATTTTGCATCGTTGTGTTGTTACAAGGCCAAGTGTACCAAAACAAAAGGGTACAAGCATTATTATAAGTAATAGCACGGGATGTCATGCACAACTGGATTATGAGGCATCATAGGGTCTGGGAACATATCTATCAGGTAAGTGACCGGTGAAAGTGGCATAGCCCTCCCTATGGATAAGTTTATTACAGACCAGAATCCTCGCAAGGCCTGACACGTCCAAAAAAAAATTAAATATTTGAATTGCATCTCTTTAAATCCCATTTTTAGCCAATGTGGGAGCTGTCTGCAGTCTTTCCCAGACCAGTGCCTGGTTTAGCTGTATGAGGGGAACCCAGCCTGAATATGCTGTGTACTGGAGGCTGGGATGGGGGGTGGGTAAGAAGGAATGGTGGGGTGTGTAGGAGGACATTCCAGAATAGGGAGCGGGCCCAGGGAAGATTTGGGATGTGGATTTAACCCAACATGTGCCTGCAGGTCTGTCATTAGGTAAATGCTCACAAAGAGGGACCTGCAAATCCTGAAAACTCTACCAGGGTCTGCCACGAAGTGCATTATAAATCAGAATAGTTCCTTTCTGACGATTGGCGTCCATTCATATCCTTTATTTTTTCTCTGACATTTTCCACTTTTCCATTATAGTTGACAGAATGACACTAGCTTCCGGTCTTTTGAAAAAGTAGATTTTTGAGATTGAAAGGGTTAAATCAAACACCCCCATCCTTTTAATTTCCCTCAAAGAGATATTTATTGTGTAATTATGCACACGGTGTTCCCTGCATTGCTATACTGTATGTAGAGTCCCTGTGTTGTAGGAGGGGGACATGCATTCCTCCTTGATTGACATGCTCACTTTCTCCCTTGTAGCACAGGGATGGTACATTCTCCTGGGCAGCACTTTACATGCACTAACCATCAACATTTAAATAGAGTGTATATATATATTCAGAAAAACATGATTTATCCGGAAGCTCTATTTGTTGCTGGTCTAATAGATTATGATGCTGTAGTCTACGTGGACCTAGTTAAATATTCTGGAGGGAGTTGTTGCCTGAGTGTCTTAAAATGTTTGAAGTTATCCTGTGATCTTGATTTTGTGAATAAACATTTTTTTTTTTCCATTTCTTTACACTGTATATGTTGCTGCAGCTATACCATCCCATACATAGGTTTGTGATTTATTTTTATTTTTTTTAGAAGAAATCTTATCACTAGGGCGTAGGACAGAGCAATCAAGTGCTGGAGCTCAAACCATTTGTTTAATCCCTAAAGGGGAGCCAGGGATCTCCTGGCACCATAACTACTTAATTTCTATTGAATGGTCACTAGAACAATTACAGCTTAATGTAATTGTTCTGGTGTATATAGTCCATCTCTGCAGGCTTTTTAATGTAAACACTGAAAAGGCAGTGGCCTTGTTTACATTGCTGCCTAGTAACACCTGTAGTAGCAGTCACTATACATATATATACCTCCTTCTCACTCGAGTAATACCCAGCGCAGAGTGTCGTATGGATCATTAAGATGCAAGCTACGTCTCCACTTAAAACCCAAACCGAAGAGGGGAGTTTCTCTGCAGAAGAGTTATCAGATTGGTAATCTCCAGTCATCTTCAAGCAAGTCTTAAAGCTCGAGGATTCTAGCTGCCTTGTAGACCACTCTTCAGAAGAGTTTTAGGAATTTCTGGAATCTGCCAACATGCAGTTCTCTGAAAATGTTTTAGGGCTCTCCACAAAGAACAAAGATGATTTTGATGACATCTGCCTTGCATGCACAAACTCCATGTGATTCAGAACAAGTGGTGGACAAACCTTGCAGAGCGAACTCCACTTTGCGCAGATGTTGGCAACTACAGAGGGTTTTATGAATCCCTGAATGCAGTTTACGTCCCTTGCACATTGCAAGTGATCAAACACTCCTCACAGACAAGGTGTCATTTCTGAACCGGTGGTAAGAACATTTCCAGTCTCATCAGCACCAACCGCACAGTAAATGTTTCTGCAGTTTATCGCATCCCACAGCAGTGTGGAGACAAACAAAAATTTGTACTGGATTCTCACTCTTGAACAGGCTATTAAGCAGCTGAAAAGTGATGAGGCAACAGGAGTCAATGATATTTCACCTAAAGTCTGGAAGGGTGAGGGCCTAGCCTTACACACTAAACTTTGATTTCTTTGTCTGCTGGGAACAAGGCAAACTACCACTGGACCTCTATGTCGGTATAATCATCATCCTTTATAAGAACAAGGGAGAAAAGTCGAACTGCTCTCCGTCACAGGAAAAATCCTTCCAAGCCTGCACCTCATGAAGTTTACCATCACTCTCGCATCACTATTGGCGAATCAGAGCTGAGGGCAGCTACCTTGGGTGCATAAGGTCTTCAGATGCCACGATTGACAAAGAAACTGTATAAGAGTCTGGAAAAACAAACCTCTAAAGAGAGGCACAAATATAAGTGTCTACATAGCTGTTGTACTGACCACTCTTCTGTACTGCTCTGAGTCATGGGTTGCCTATCTCCATCACAGGCAACTCCTTGAGTACTTTCTCAAACGCTTCCTCTGCACAATCTGAAGCATTTATTGGAATGACTTAATCACCAATATCAATGTTCTCGAACAGGCAGGGACAACCAGTATCAAGACTTTGCTTTTGACGTTGCAGTTGCGCTGGGCAGGGCATGTCTCCAGGATGGAAGATCATCTCCTACCGAAGGTTGTACTGTATGGTGAACTCTCCACTGCACACCGCAACAGAGGTGCACCAAAGAAGAGATACAAGGACTCTTTGAAGTAATCACTTCTTGCCTATGACATCACTATCGTCCCTGGTGTGCCCTAACCTCTGATTGCGAGAGTTGGAGACCCACCATTCATCAGGTTGTCTCCTCCTTCGAGAATGCACATAGGGAAGATATTGTGAATAAAAAGAAACCGGTGAAGGACTGTGACACTGTGGCATCACAGTCAGACCAGATTTTTCATTGTAGCGTCTGCGGCTGCTTTGGTCTGTCCTGCATTGGGATCATCAGCCACCAACGTGTCTGCAGCAGACCTGGACAACCGGCTTCCTAAATCTACGTTAAGTTACTTACTGCCATTACAATTTAAATATTCATGTTCCTGTACCTCTCATTATTTTTGTTAGATTTACATTGAAAACTAGCAATCGTACAATGTGAAAAGACTATCTGTTTAGTGGAAGTCCTTGCAGGGAAAGGCCCAAATAAACGGGTTCAACGTAATTTGAAACCATGGTCTTTGGAACTTGTTTACTTTTGGCCTCCAACAGGCTCTACCTGTATAGAACCTGTCTAGACTTTAAATTTTATTCTTTTTTTATTTTTTTGGTTGCTTTTGTCAAAATAAAATTCCTTTCTAATCCACACCAAAGTGAATTGACATGTCCTGGATTCACTTGTGGAGTCTTAATCCACGAATAAGACTCCACAGGTAAATATAAATTATTGGATTAAAAGGAATTTGATTTGGAGAAACCGTCCAGTACCAAACCTTTGGTACCTGTCTAGGAAGTGGTTATGGGGATTCTGACATTGATACTGCTAATTGGCTGAGGACTCGAGTCTAAATCCGAATCTTTTTAGCAGGCAATGTTACTACTGTTTGATCTACAGCCAGACCAAACCAAATCCATTTACCTTGAAATTGATCTCGCTATAGTTCATGTTTTGCTATATTGCTGTAACTTATTTTTATTTTTTTTTATTTTATTTTTTTCAATTTTTTTTAAATGGTGCCAAGAAAAGCAGGTTGAAGGTATGTAGAGCAAACACCCAAACTCCTGTGCCAATAAAACAAAATTGCATAACATATTATAATTATTAATGCTTAACAATATCTTAAACTGCTGTCATTAAAATAAAAATAAAAGGGGGGGGGGAGGGGAGAACAGTCACAACTGAGATTTTTGCACAACCTGATGTGCAGTTAAGTGTTTAGTTTTTTTCATTAAGTCTGCAATATTTTTATTTATTTGAAATATACATTGTATGACTGACAGACCTGGCACAGACACTACATACATCAGAAATCAACTTAAAGAACAACTGTCATCACATTTTCATATTTTAACCCCTTTAAGACCAAGACTTTTTTTTGTGATGCAACGTGTTTGTAACCAAGGCTTCATTGATCCTTTTGCTATGCATTCAGTCAATCCCAATTTCTCCATTTCTGTTTAAGTGTGCCCATACAGATGTATTTATATATATATATATATATTTTTTTTTTAAGGTTTTTTTTTTTTTTTAAAGGAGAAATGGGGGCTTGCAGGAAGACCTCCCCGTGATCTTTTCAGAAACTTGGCGAACACTACGCCTGGTGGGAGGGAGCAGTGAAATACAGTGGGTGAGTTAGATTGCTCGGCCACTGTATTTGAAGGGCTATGAGAAGTGCTCAATTTTACTGCTGCTCATAGCTCATCTGTCAGTGTGAGGCTAACGGTGGCTGACCGTTTGTTACATTTTTTTTTTTTTCACCATAAAAACTGATTTTGCACAGCCCTTTGGGGATTTTTTTTTTTTTTTTTTTAACTTCTAAGCTTGCCAAGGTCTATGGCCAAACTGTAATATATAGACAGGCTGTTTTTTGGGTATAACTATAGTGTTGGGAATACAAAGTTGTATTACTAACACGATAGTACCCTCTGGGCACTGTATAATAATCAAGGTTGTTGTGTGTATATATATGGTTTGTACATTATCTGTGCTCGGTGCAATGCTGCTTTGTAGTTTGAACAGATTATTTTGCACAGGCCTTTAATAGGAATTTGCGTAGTCTAGTATAAATTAGGATTTCCTGAGTGTGAAATGACGAGGATCAAAAAAAGCCTTGTCTCGGAGAGTTTAGACAAGGCTTAACATGTTTCTATGTTTGGACCTGCTCTTTCCTTGAAAAGGAAGCTATGCAAGCAGTCTGGTCTTCTGAACAAGTATAATGCTTTCATTCTGGTAGTTAAGCGATAACATAAAAAAATAACTTAAAAGCAAAGCAAGAAGAAATATAGACTCTAAAAGTGACCAATGCTGCAGTGTGTGTGTGTGTGTGTGTGTGTGTGTGTGTGTGTACACATGCAAATAAAATTGAATAATCCTATGTAGGTGAGATATTCCAGAAATACTCCAGCCTTGTTTATTTTGAGAGAGAAAAAAATCTCTCATACTTTTGTCAGAACTTCTGTATGACTGAATCCGTATCTTACTGTATCCATGCCTATAAGTTAGCTCAGGTTTTCAATGCTCGGCTTGCTTTACTGGTCATAAGTAAAAATCACATGAAAGAATAGCATTTAATCCATAAAATTTCTGGCTCTTTTTCTGGAACACTGTTACTTAACTAATTTTGTAGGATATCCAAATTATGTATTACATTGCTTCCCATACAGGGACACTATAGGCACCAAAACAACTTAAGCTTAATAAAGCAGTTTTGGTGTATAGACCATGCCCCTGCAGTCTCACTCAATTCGCTGCCATTTAGGAGTTAAATTTCTTTGTTTATACAGCCATAGTTACACCTCAATGCATGGGATTTGCATGTAACTGCAGGGGCATGATGTATACACTCAAAACTGCTTTTTGTAAAGGGACACTATAGGCACCCAGGCCACTTCAACTCATCAAAGTGGAATGCCCCTGTTCCCTTTAGTCCTGCAATATAAAACATTGCCGTTTTTGATAAACTGCAATGTTTCCATTGCAGGACTAGGACAGCCATTAGTGGCACTAGATTTTACTGGACTCGGAAGTCCCTTAAACAACGCTGGACATCTTCATGCTCTGAGGTCACCCAATGTCTGTGAAAGCCCCAAAGGGAAGCATTGATGCATGGGAAGGATCAAATACACCTACAGAGTTCTGATCTCCCTCGGGTGAGTAAATAAAGGGGTTTTAGCCCTTTATGTGCTGGGGCCAACGATCAGAAGGCACTATAGTGTTAGGAATATAATGTTATATTCCTAACACTATAGATTGCCTTTAAGCTAAAGTTTTGTCCAGTGTTGGAAGGTTCTCCATTGCTCTGAAAAGGCAACTACAATGGTAAATGGTTTCTCATGCTTATGGGCAGTACTAGAGCCTGTCTACCACAATCAGGATTATTTATCAACGTGAGAATTGCAGGGAGTTCAAAGTGAATTTCACAAATTAGGCCAACCTAGCCAAATTCTAAATACCTTCTAGCCAATCCCATTTTGTTTGACTGCTTTCTTCTTTATTTACGAATTGACAAATTCAAAGTGAATTCTAAATTAACCATGAAATTGGTCATTTTATAGAGATTTTGTCCCCGTTAGAATTGCAAGTTTTGCTTGGCATATTTATCCTTGTATTGCAAAGTTTTCCTGAAGGCTTTATTCGTTTTAACCGGTTGGGTATTCCTTCTCATTTTACTAGATGGTACAAGCTCCGTTCAAAGCCTGGGAGGAAGGAGAAGGAGAGGGGTGAGATCGAAGTCTCTATCCAGTTCACGAGAAACAATTTGACTGCCAGTATGTTTGATCTCTCTGTCAAGGACAAACCCAAGACACCATTTGGGAAGCTTAAAGACAAGATGAAAGTCAAGAAACTCTTTGACATGGAGTCCTCTTCCGCCATCGTTCCAAGCAGTGTGGGCCGTCTTGATAGTGACGATGAGGATGAAAGAAAGCCAAAGTCCAAGGCAGCCTTTTTCTTGAAGGGACGTTTGCGCAAAAGCTCCCTCACCAAATCCAACACTTCTCTGGGCTCTGACAGCACCATCTCAAATGCAAGTGGCACAGTGCCCACCAGTTCTGGCATCTCTATTGTTCTACCTGATGTTGGCAAGAAACCAGCAGCCAGGAACAGCAGTCTGTCCACAGAAGCCACTGGTAAGTGTAACTCTAAATAAAATGTGATACACCAAACCTTCTAAGTCACCTTAACGACCAAATTATACCCCAGTCTAGTCATTGTCGAGCCTGCGATGGAACTGAATAAGTGTATCCATTTTAATTTGGGTCTAAAAATGAGATTGAGCAAGTGTAGTTTTACCCCCCTAATTCAACTGGATTTTAGTTTTTTCAATGCACCTTCTTAAAGGACAATTGTCCCCAAATTTTCACATTTTTTTTTTTTTTAAATTAGTGAATTTGTATGTGTGTGTGTGTGTGTGTGTACGTACATGTATTTACATATTGATCTACTCTTTCCTGCACCTGTGATTGTTCTGTGTGAACCAAGTGAGGTTGAGCAGCAGTTTGTCAGATAAGAGTAGAGTCAGACCCAACATGACTGCACATTCAGAAAAAATACAATTTTCCCCCCCACAAAAATCAATCTACATCATTATAAACATATTGTTCCATCATTAGAAGTACCATAATAAAAAAATAAAAAGTGAGAATTTGATTACATTTGTCTTAAGTTACAATTTTACTTAAGCTCTTGAAATTTTAGTTAATTTTTTTTTTTTCTTGAAAATTTAGTTAATTTTCATCTAGAATGGAGATAACTGGAATTTTTTCTGCATTATGATTACAAAAAATCCAAACCCTTTAAATCATCATCAATTAATGGAGGTCCCAGGATTTATCAGAGCATAGCAGGCTGTGTAGGGTTTACTAGTTCAGTCGAGTGAGTACTTCCATTTGTTAAAAAGAAAGTAATAAATATGATTTTTATCTATTTTTACGGGAGCAGGGGGCTAGATGGTTGTTTTAACACTATAGGGTCAGGAAAACATGTTTGTGGTCCTGACCCCATCCTTTAAGCTATAGTGTCACTCTAAACTTTGTCGTTGAAAACAAACTATTTGTTTAAAAAAATAATAATAATTCTGGTCCTAACTTTGCTAGCTGGCTCCTAGATTCCAAACATATATTTGTCAAGCCCTGATGCAACTAATTATAAGGCAAATAGTTTCAGGAAGAAAATAATTCCCTTTTAAAACAAACCTATTCCCCATATATATATATTTTTTTCCTGTGCGAGTGCAACCAAGGGGGATCCATAATCCGAAACCTGTGCCTAAGCATGAAACACGTTAAGCTTTGGAATTTTTTTACATTTATTTATTTATTTTTACACCTCTTTCTTTGGCACCAAGATGTTTAAAAACACCCGGCTCCTTAGCACTGTTTTACTGTGTGCATGTCCCACCGGCGTGGTAAATGAAGTTTTTGCATGCAATGGATTATGAAGATCCTGTCGTGGCTCACAGCAGTCTTTAGGGGAGTTGAAGACTTCTCAACTGGTGTTGTGTTTGCCTGGTAAGCACTTTAACAGAGAGCCTCACCCAGCATGATAAAGTATCTAGCCATGCGTTCTTATCCGAGCTAAAATGCTGGGTTCTAGCCACTCGGTAATAAGTCAGTCTGTGTCTAGACTGAACTGGTCAGTATCGGCTCCTGGGTTATTTCTTCTCCTATGTTCCTAGGAACCCATGAGCAATATGGAGCAGTTGGTAACAGATCCCAACCCAGGATGGTCACAGGATAGATGTGTATCCCCCATACTCTGTGATGCACATTCAATATTACCATGGGTCTATTCACTGATACCCAAACTTGCTTTATCAAACTCTGCCCATTTTCATCCGTTAAGTTCTTTTCAATCTTTTTGATTGAGTTCCTGTGAGAATCCCTTTATTCTCTGTCCACAGAATTGAAACTGCTTTGAGCCAATTAGATCTATGCGATTTCTAAATTTATCTCATTGAGCAGTAAGAACCATTTGAAAATAGCTTTACGTAGATTACAGCTGAACGGCAGACCAATTTTACTGCAGTAAAGGGTTATTTACCAACATGAGAATTCAATAAGATTTTTTTTGCTGACAGGGGGCTGGTCACCTAAATATCACTATTAGAGCTATAGTCCATGAACAAACAAAAAGAGGAAACGGCACTCCAATGCTGGACCCAGTGCTTTCCATGTCAGGTATACATGTTTGTAATCTTGATACTATACTGTTCCTTTAAAATGGGGCAGAGATTTTCAGGATGTCTTGCGGTTCCATGCACATGCAGCGTTGTGTTGGAGTTCTAAAGTGCTAGCTTCTACGCTGCAGAATATGCTGGCGCCATATAAATGTCCATAACGATTACTCTTTATGTGTAGTTGAATGCGTTACTGTGAAATAGGTTTTTAAAGGGTTACTCCAAGCATCACAACCAGGACATGCCAGGTCATGGGGAGAACCATTTTGCTGCGGTGGGCCGATCCTGCCAGTCATTCACTGACGTCCGCTGATCACGGTCAGCCAATGAATATACATTGAATTGACATTTGCCAGCCTTGAATTCTCGTTCAATATCTCAAAGCTGTTTGGTTCTGAAAGCTGTTTGGTTCTGGCTCTGTTCACCTTGTGCTGTCTGTAGATCCTGCTGAGTCAGTCCTTCTCTCAGTTTGTGAATTATATCTGTGAAATGCAGTACTATAACACTTCTGTTCCGGACACTGCAGCATTACGCCATGTCAGCTTGCTGTATAGAAGGGAACTGTTATTTGTCTTGGTTGGTGATTTAGCTGTGATGGCTCAGGTCTGCCCTCTAGTTTTCATCTTGTGTACTGTAGGCTCTGAGCTCAGTGTATTGTATACCTTCCTCTGATGTTACAGACAGAGCTGTCCTGTAGACTCCACACCGGAAAAAAGCTTCCTTATAGGAACATCTGACCTTGGCACCCCACATGCTTTGTGAACTAACGCTCCTATGATGCTCATAAGGCAGCAGGGTTTCCCATGGGTGGTACAGATTGTCACGAAGTGGGCTTTTGAGCTTTGCGAATACAGTTTACTGGTTTATCTGCTTTAATGGTGTAGTGCACACAGTGTACACGGTTTCACTGATCAGTCTGTTGCAATGGTATCAGCATATAGTGTGTGTTTAGAAATAAGCCCACCATTTCTGTTCTTGCGCCCCAACCTGCTAGGCTCCCCTTCTTGCTTCAATAATACTTCTGTATATGATGTCGTATGACTTTGGTTTCTTGGAGTTGTAGTTTCTGTTGGCTTTCTGCGTTAGAAAACTCCAAGTGAGCTAGAATTGGCAGCGACACTTTAAAAAATGTCCATAAAGCATTTCTTATGGAATAATATCAGCAGTGCTTTAGAAATAAATGTAGCATTCTGATTTGCTGAATCTATTCCAGGTCTTGGCAGAACTCGTTTCATGTTTTGTTAAAGCTCAGGCTTTCCAGCTTCTGTGGCAACTTTAATTGTATGAGGGGCAAATAAGGCCGTAAAGGAAATAAAAAATGGGGGAATAAGTCGGTTGTGGTGTGCCGGAAACCGACGTTGTGGTAGGCCTGTAATAAAAGAGGGCCCACCCATGAGGTGTAATGAAAAGTATAAATAAAGGGAGTGGAGGGTGGGGACATGCGACTCGCTAAAAAACGAACGGGACTGAGGAAGGTGAGGAGGGGTTTAAGTAGGTTAACATGCCCATCCCACAACTGCAGGCCAAGCCTTCACATTTATGAATATCCTTGGAACCCACCTCCCTTCATTTTATTTATTTTTTTTACATTTTTTTTTTTTCTTGCCCTTTTCCTTTTGATGTATAATAATGGCTACTTTCTCGTGCATGAGTCATTTTTTTGGGCAAAATGTGTCTGCTGCAGGTTCAGCTTCCACCTTTTCCATTGGTGACCAGCTGACCGGTCATTATATCCACATATAAGTATAAAAAAACAAGAATAAGTGCTTTATATCTGTAAATGAGCTGCAATTCACCAACAAGGTGTTCCCCTAACCTTGTGAAAAACAAAACCGGTATATAGAATAGAAAGGTGAACAGCGCTAACCATATATAAAAATATATATATTACATACGTGGTAGATGGTACTTGTCAATGATATGGCTTAAAAAAGAACAAAATAAAATAATAGTGCAATATATAATAACAGTGGAGTAAATATAGAAGGAATATATGATCCAAACTCGCACTTTAAAGAGCTATATAAGCTCAATTGGAAGGGCCTGGACGGAATAATCCCCGTCTGTGGATATCTTGATATGAGATCTTCCTGGTAGGCTTATAGAGATGGACTTTCACAATATAGAAGACAGGAAAGAAAAGGAACACTAATAGTGTAAATAGTACATGTAGGTATATTGCAGATAAAAATAGTCCTACTTACATATACTAGAGCAATGGACCTGCTCTAGTGTAAACGGCTTCAGGTGGAACAATCCCCACCTAGGGATATAGAGGACCCAGAGGTAGCAGCAGCAAGATGAAATAGGAAGTAGGACTTGGAGAGACTGGGTTTACATAAAATGTATATACTTTAATTGGATAAAATTAAAAGTAAAAAAACAAATATACATATATTTATAAAATACCAGTCTAAATAAAAGTCAGTAGTTCTTCATCACTAGACGCGTTTCGACGTGGCTTTTTCAAAAGTGAATGCTTGCTGCAAGGAGTCCTCGAGGTTATAAACCTTCTATGTTTGTAGAAACGGATTCCGGTGTGTGTAGCTTGTCATTTCCGGTTTCGTCGCGATGACGCAAACGGAAGTCCTCCGGGCGCCATTTTGGGTAAGGGCAAAGTTCGTAAATGCCCAAAGGACGGCACAATAGTGTGTAGGACAGAGATTTTACATTAAATAAGTATGTTAGCATAGATAATAATACAGTATATACAAAAGTGAATATTAAAACATAAAATGTGAATCCAAAGAAGCATTATATTATTAATGTATAAGTGATCACTTTCAAACAGACATCTGGGCTCAATATTGATATGATTTTATTTATATATATATATTTTGAACATAGCTAAAAAAATAATAAATAAAACGCCATAAAAAATATGGTTTTTTAATATATGTTAAAAAATTACAATGGATATACATAAATTTGAAATATTAAAATGATGAATAAATTATAAAAAATGAATTAAATCAAATTCTATATTGAGTCCATTTGGATGAAGGGTGTCTAAACGGTACCCATTCCATTTCTAATTTTCCTATATTTTTAATAATAATACCCCCTCTCCAATGTGGCTTGTATTTTGCAATCCCCACAAATTTCAAAAGGCTGGGATCTTTATTGTGCTGTAGGAAATGTGCAGATACAGAGTGGTTTGTGTACCCCTTTTCAATATTGCGACAATGTTCACTAATTCGTATTTTTAGTGGACGTATAGTATTGTAGTCCATAAGGACATTCTAGTAGATAAATCACATTGTTGCTATTGCACGTAATAATTTCATTTATATTAAAAGTTTTTTTTTTTTTTATTTGATTTAAAATTTAAAGTGCATTTGTCCATTTTATGCGGTTTTTTTTACATATGATACATGTATTACACCTATAAAAACCTTTTATTAATAGTTAAAAAAAAAATTTTTGCATATATTTTTTGTAAGTTGTCATTTTAGTTTGGGTGCACCTCTAAATATTATAGTGGGTTTCTCAGGTAGAGATTTATTTAATCTCAATACTAAATAAAGTTGTTCCTTATAAGGTTGGGTCTAAAGAGGCAGATAAAAAAAAAAAAAAAAAACCTTCTACAAATGATGCTTTAAAAATAGTATATCTGTGTGAATTCACCACAATCTTTCTTTTTAGTTAAGGACAATGATACTTCTTCAAGAATGACTCATAAGAGGGCCTTCAGTGACGAGGTGAGCCAGTTAACCATCCCTTCTGAACCAAGAATTGTACAGGATCTTAAGCCAAAGGGAAGTCCTATCTCTAAGTCTTCTCTCTGCATCAATGGGAGCCATGTGTACGCTGAAGTACCCCTTCCAAAGCCTTCGCCAAGTCCACTAGAGAAATTTGCACCTGCGTCCAAGTCATTTCAGAACATCGTAAAGAAAACAGAAGATCCTGCTGCCCATGAAGGCCCTGGAGCAAATTTATCAGGGTCAGACAAACCGTCTCGAAAGCCAGATGTGAAAACAAGTGTACCTACTACCATAACCTTAGAAGAGGCAAAGACCCCTGCCAAAATCGCTGTAGACCTTCCAAAAAATGAGGATGTCCGTCTGGAGTTTAAGCCCATACAGATTACCACACCACTGGTGTTTTCACAGAATGTATCTAGGAACAAATCTCAAGAAAATGTTGGAAAAGAAGAAAAGAAACCAAAGGTAAATCTCTTCCACCATGGGCCCGGCAAGAATGAACCTAGTGACAAGAGCCTAGCTGAACAAACAGCCCAGGTGTCGGTGAATACAGAGGAAAAAAGCAAGGCTGGTGGCTGGTTTGGTTCCAAAGACAACAAAGATGCCGTACAGAAACCAAGGTTGGTAACTAAATTTTTCTTTCTTTTATTTGGATCTATAAAACAAGGCTGTCTTAATATTAATTACTAAAATACCACACTTTCTGATGCACATGCTCACAAATCTGTATTCCCACCTGTGCGCACAACCATTCTATGTCAGGTGAGGTAGCATCCGGCAGCTCAATTACTGCTCTGACCGGTCCGTTACCTAGCAACAGTTGCCAGGTGACTGAACAGACAGTCTGGTGATTGAGCTGCTGACTGCTTCTACCTACATCCGCGGTTCCACATCAAGGCAGCAGACGTCAGAAATGGCTTTGTTTAGCAACAGTAATATAATTATATTCTGGATTTATTGATGTTGGGTGTTTTTTGTTTAAACGTGATTGCCAGAGTAAATTTGGAACCATTTTACATTGTGTAGCGCTCCTCCATAGGTAATTTGTAATATTTAGTTTTTGTTGTGGAACGCCTCAATTTTCGAATTTCCTAATATGCCTTTCTTCAGTCAGGCGGTCAAGTTCAGCGGGCTGAGCTTGACTTCGGGGCCCATTAACAGGCTTCTGCAGCGCTTGCTGAGTAAGAGCTTCCCAGGGGTGTAGGCAGACGTGGAGATGTTCCTTGACAAGCTGTGGCTCAGAGAGTGCTTGTCTCACAGGCGGATCGTGACGCAGGAATCTGCGCCGCTGTAGGGGCTCCCGCCTCTGCCTGCTCACCATCAACACTGCAACTTGACCAGCTGATCGTGGTACGGCTGTGCTGTGCGTTGGGCCAGGCTGGGGTGATGTTGCAGAGAGCGGTCTCAGTGATTGCCGCCGGAGTTGGACCACCGTAAGCCGAGAGCTCCTCTTGGTTTTTTGAGAGCGTCGGGCTGGGTTCAGCTCCAGTAGGACCTCACACCTGTAGGGCAGTCGAGTAGCCTCTGTTGCAACCTGGCTCTCCAGGGAGGTAAGCTGGAGTGAATGGCTTTGTAAGCAGAGCCAAAAGTCTTGACAGACCTCGAATTTAGCCTCAAAGGTCTCCCTCCAGACCAGGTTGTAGCGTGTCCGCCATCTTAGGTAACCATGGGGAAACAAGGCTGCACAGACTTTTCTTCTTTTTTTTTTTTTTTTAACAGGCTTATGCCCAGAGTCGAGACATTGCCTGCCTCCCCCATCCCCTGGACAGTCTGCTTCAGTATGAAGCAAGATCTGGGCACCCAGATTCAGGCTTAGTCTGTAGCAGTGTTTAGTAAGGGTGATCCCCAAGTAGCCTAGGGTTGTATCCAGCTGGATTAACCAAGGTATTTCCACAATTTTAGTTTAAGTTGGCAGGAGCTAACAGAATACATGTCAGGCCCCACCCCCTTTTTTTTTTTTGTTCTGTTTTGATCTCCAATAAATGTTTTGCCTTCACCCTACATTGACGCCTGTGGAACTGTATTTCTTCGACAGAAAATGGCAGACAATTCAGATAGGTCACGGCATGTTCGCACCAATGGCAAATAGTTTTCAAAGATTTCCAAAACACTGCGTTTAGCATACACTGATACATTAATACATCCAGACGCTCAGTGACCCACAGCTCAGATGCACCCCTGCTTCCATACACACCATTCCATGAAACGTTTGTTAACATTTGATCTCTATGGGTAAGCAAGTGGTAAGAACCTCCTGGCACCATAACATTCAAGTTAACTGGTCCTACTTAAGATTTGTACTTGCCGCTGCTGCATTATTTACACTAGTACATACTACAATGGTTTTACTGGGGGTGTAGGAACAAGTAACTCTCCCTTACCTGGAAGTGACAGCTGGCTATGTAGACTTGGGTTATTGTCAATCCCTGCAGCAGTAATGCCTCCATAGTAAATGTGTGTTCAGGGCCATGAAATATTGCAGGCAGGGGGTCGGTGTCCTGTCATTGATTATTCATCTGTAATCTGCTTTTAAATAATATTTCATTACTATGTTCAAAGTTCTACTAACCAATGTTTTTGTTGGGGTTTTTATTTTCATCTGCCGTGGCACACTACTGTATCGAGAATGGAAAACGGAAATCTCAAATTAAAATGTAGCCTAAGCTAGTCAAGATGTAGCTATAGCTGAATTAAAGAATATCAAATCATCATTTTGCCTAAATTTGGACAGTTTGGTTTTCTATTTACTTCAATTCTGTATTTAGTTAGTTAAAGGCACACTATAACCACTTTAATGAGATGAAGCAGATGCTTTTTAATATATATATATATTTATTTTTTTTACATTCTTTATTTTGGTTTGAGTGGTAGACAGGGACATATACAGTGGTATTCAACAAAATATAAGCAGTAGTATGACAATAGTAGAATCAGAGTTGGCAACATTAGTGAGACACAGGTTCCGCTAGGTACTCTGGCCCCTGTTTGGGGCCAAGTGCATGGAGGTTGCTAGCCGTTGAATGCGGTTGGGGAGCCCCAGTCTCGTCTGTGGTATATCACCGGGAGTCCTCAGTTTCATGTGTCCACCTGCTGTCAGCGGGGGTCATAAGTCATCTGTATGATGTCCACCCCTCAAGTATTTTATCGGTCAGGTGAAGACCTGTCCGGAGAGATTGTATGAGAGAAGAAGGAAGGGCAGGGGTTAGGTTAAAGAAGGAAGAGGAAGGGGTAGGAAAGTGGGTGAGGGATTTGAGTTCAGCACAGAACTGGCTCAGCCAGGAGGGCAGAGGCAAGGGACGGTGCCCAGGCACCCCTCCTCCCTTCCCCGGGACCATCCAGGCCTTAGCAGTGGTCAAGTCAGGTTGTCCCATCAAGGTAGACCTCCCACGGCTCCCAGACCTTCCTGAAGGTTTTTAGTGTGCCCTGGACTTGGGCGGTTAGCTTATGTATTAAATATGTGTCTTTTTTTAGTTTTAAGGTGACCAGGTCAATGGATGGATCTTGGATCCCAGCCAGGATTGAGCTATGGCTCTTCGAGCAGCCAGTGCGATTTCGTGGCTTTTTTAATATTTTAATGCTAAAATAAGTGTCCAAGAAACCAACCCCTCTGTGTTGTTTAGTCTAATGAGGAAACATAAACTTGAGCGGCAGTGGGTGACCGTGCCCATGCCTGGTATAAATAGGTATGGCTAAATGGAAGTGTGTAATCTAGGCCTGAACATCCAGTAGGCACCAGGCTGTGGGTGGTACTCACCATAAAATCCATTAAACCAGTAGGCTCATTCCGTTAGGGACTTCACTCCACTATTTTGCACCACTTTTTAGAACCGAGCAATTTAATAAAAATCTCTCAGTGGGTCATAAACAAATGATGTTTATGGAAAAAAATGTTCAGTCCTGGCTAGTAAGTGATGGTTTCAAAAGTTTAACCCTGTAGTGAGGATTTTGTATATTAAGAATAGGATGCTGACTTTTTTTTATTCTGGTCGGTTATTTAGACTGCATCTTCCATATGTGGACCTGGTGATGTATTTTTGATCAGGAATCTGGAAGGATGCTGCTAGAGTTTGTAATGAATGCCAAGCGGCATAGGGTCAATGAATGAAATATCTGTTTTCAGTCCTAGTTTAGTAGTAATAAAAAAAGGAAGTGAAAACTCTCAACTCTATTTGTGCCACTGTGTGTGCTTCACATGGAGAACTTTGATTAAAGTGTGCACTCGTGTAGAACTATATTAAACGGACACTCCTCGCACCCTCTGGGCTCTACCTCCAACATAGCTAAAGTACATTTGATGGATTTGGCCTATTTGTGTCGTGTTTTGTGCCCTGTTCAAACCTTTTACTTTGGTTAAAAAAAATTGCAGCTTTTTTTTCAGTATAATTAGACATTCTCAGTTAATGTAAGATCAGTGTGATCGGATGTGCTGACATTACTCCACCCCTTAGCACGGCGCTGCTGTACTATACAGGTAGGAGGATAGTGACTGGATGTGGGATCGAAGTCAAGTCAGCGGCTCGGCTCACACTGATCTTTGACTGTTAGTTTAGCTTCCAATCAGGGATATGGGGGTGTGGCTAGGTGGGCAGGGTTAAATTGCAGAAAGCACAAAACCTTTTTGTTTAAAGTAGTAGTGTGTAGATTTGATGACACAGTATCAATGGTAGTGGAAGCTCTGCTCACTAGACTTCCTTTTTATTTTGCAGTAGGTTGAGGGCCTTATTTTTTTTTTTTTTTGGTTATGTGTGAAAAGTTTGACGGTTGAAGAGCGTAGTAGTGGTTAGGATGCCAGGAGTACCCTGACATAATTTTGGTAATGTGGCTATAGCGGAGCTTCCATATCCTGACTGAATATCCCTGCTGGATTCCCCTTGTAGCTGGAAGAAGAGCTGTTTAGTAATGATCCCTTTCCCCATTAAACAGACGATACATGATTCTGGGAGCACACTCTTTTTCTACACGACCCCCAGCATGGGGTCTCTATTCAAGAGCGTGATCCCACCCTGGTGCCTCGGTGTCTGGGAGATGATTGTTAGCCCTCGCTTACACTAATTATCTCCCGGATACAGAGAACACCACACAAAATACCCCAAAAAAACAAGCCGGAACCCCAACACATTCCACATCCCCGGATAGCTCTGGTCCAAGTGCCCAGGTTGGCAAAATAGTGCTCGGATCCATGAAGAACAGACCAATTGCCATCAGGGTAAAAATTGGACTGGCTGCTAGCATGGTACATGTAATGTTTCCCTCATTATGATGGTAAGATCAACTAAACAATTGTGGACAATAAATACTATCTGTTCAAAGGTTAATTCTACCTTATATTGTATAGTTTAGTCCAACATGTGCAATTAATAGATGGAGATCACCCCAAGTTTTATTGATGGACTCAATTTGTTGATATAAAACCTAAAATCAGTGGGCTAACAAAGTCAAACTTTTATAATAAAAATCTGGCATGAGCAAGAGACTCAAAGAATTGAGTTAGAATGAATATTCAAATAGAGATGCTAAATATAGCTTAGAATTTAAATAAACTGGGTGAACGAGAAACCTTCATTTAGACCTTTTGGTCTTATCTCTGGCGTAAGTATGTCATAATCTCCCTTTCGCTGTGTTTTTGTTTGTTTTTTTTGTTTTTTTTTCAGCTCAATACCACAAAAGCGGTGTCCTTTTGAGTCACCCCTATGTTATTCTTTGAGATGTCGGGAGATGGGGGTCTGTTAGATTTCTAACCATCTTATGTGTTATTTTATCCTTTATTTAAAAGGACTGAAAGTATTCCCTACATACATCTTCCCACAGTCACGTGATGGGGTATACCAGCCATGTTGCAGTTGAAAAAGGATTCTATCTTATAACTTTGCTGGTCTTCACTATCCTTTATAAACTTCAAATCACGTTTGATGTGTTTGCAGACCACACATCTCCTGCATCTATATGTTCCCACGGGGGGGCTTTTTAACCATGTATCCAAATTTGTCTTTCTTTCTGGTCTACAGTGGCTGGGGACAAGCATGTTCTGTAGGTTCTTACCTCTACAGGCCGTAAAGCTCACCTTCTGATTTACAACTTTAAGGTGTTAGTCAATTATCAGAATGGGCCAGAACCTTTCACATGTTCTCTCTCATTATGTCACAGCCAGCTTCATATGAGGCGATCATTCTAACTACCTTGTTTGTATCAAAAGAGTGACGATTACCCAAAAGGTCATTCCGATCGGCCTCCAGTGCCCTTCTATATGCATTTGTTGGGATAGCCTTTTTCACGGAATGCCACACCTCAGGGGTTTCGGATGGAAGCTATCCCAACGTAGAAGGCCATTGGAGGCCAATGGTTTTCTTAATAGTGGTTTGAATTGAGCCATCTTCCATGATAGAAATGGAAATGTCTGTGAAGTTTAAAGTTGAGACTACAAATTCTGAGGGGAATCTAAGATTCTCATCATTTTGATTGAGATGTACAAATTTGTTGAACTATTCTAGTGTGTGTGCCACACAATTATGATGATGCTAATGTATCAACGCCACCATAAGATGTTTTTGATGAATTCCTGTAAGGCCTCCAGATGTAGGATATGTTCTTCCCACCAACCCAGATGAAAGTTCGCATAGGATGGGGCATAAGCAGTCCCCATTGCACTCCCCCTTCATCTGGTGGTAAAATTTGCCATTAAACAGGAAGTAATTGTGTGACAGGAATAACCCAGGGAGACTCAACACAAACTTTGTGTGAGGCTCATGGCTCACATCTTTTTGAGAGAGAGTACTTAACATGGTCAATGCCCTGATCATGTGGTATAGAGGAGTATAACGACTCCACGTCTAAACTGCACAAACTGGCTGTCCCAGGAACCTTTAGATTTGAAAGGAGGGTCAGGGCCTGTTTTGTGTCCTGGATGTAGCACGGAAAATGCTCCACAAATGGTCTAAGAATGTAATTGATGTGTATATACTTCCATTTTGTGTCAAATGGCCCACTCTGGGCACAATGGGGTGACCTGAGGGTTCAGATAAGCTTTTATGGACTTTTGGCAGGCAGTAGAAGGTTATCATCTGGGTGCGAGTGTAGATGAGTTCGTATTCATCCCGTAATAGCAACCCTCCACTGCGGCCTTGGTCCAAAATGAATTTTACTTTTCAGGAAGTCATTACTTGGGTCTTTTTATAGGGATCTGTATCCTCTAGTACAGGGGTTCCCAACGTGTCTTACGCGTACCCCCAGGGGTACAAACCAGTATCACTGTGGGTACGCAAAGAGCCGCCTGGCACAAGTTGGGAACCTGAATAAATGGTCCATCGGGTGACCAATGTACTCAGGGCCACCCGGTGGACATGTGCCGTGAGGTGCCCCGTCGGGTGCTGCTGGAGCGCTGGGAGGAAGTCTCTGGCCCCCTCTCACTCCCTCCCAGCTGAAACAGACTCTGCCACAAAGAGGGGAGGCGGGACCGCAAGCTAGTAGTGCCTGCTTCCACCCGTCCACAATGTGTTAACTTCTCCCCCTTACTGACATAACCCCACCCCTGCTGCTATAACCCCACCAGTGAAATGCATAGTTCCGCCTCCGCTGGTATAGCCCCGCCCGATTCGCCCACCAGAAGAGGAGGAAGCTCTGAACTCCCATCAACCCCAGCAAGCAGAAGCTACCCTCCTGCTCCCATAAGGTAGGAAACTGGAGGCTGACTACAATGTTCACGTGTGTTTAGAGTGTCCTGTTTCTGTACGTATGTAGTGTGTGTTTGTATGTGTGTATCTGTCTGTAAATCTGTATGTGTGTGTCAGTGTTTGTATTTGTATATCAGAATGTGTGTATATGTGCATCTGTATGCGTCAGTATGTGTATCTGTATAGGTGTCAGTGTTCACAGCTGAATGTCTGTACATCTGTGTGAGTATAAGTGTCTGTATCTCTGTGTGTGGCTGTGTATCGGCATGTGTGCATCTGTCTGTATCTGTCAGTCTTTGCATCTGTGTCTGTATCTGTGTCTGTATCTGTGTCTGTATCTGTGTCTGTATCTGTGTCTGTATCTGTGTCTGCATCTGTGTCTGTGTTTGCATCAGTGTGTTTGTGCAACTGTGAGTTTGTGCGTCTGCATGCGTGTCTTTATCTGTGTCCCTGTTTGTGTGTCTGTATTTGTATGTGTAAATGTGTGAGTGCCATTGCTTGGATCTGTCTATACATCTATATGTATGTCAGTGTTTGTATCTGTGTGCCCCTGTGTTCTAAACGCTAATTTTAACTCCTTAACAACTACCGCTTTATATTTAAACACATGAGGAACTGCCTCGAAGCAGTAAGAGGGGTGGCATATTATTATTAGGGGTATAGAAATTATCTTTAGAATATAGAGGCAGGGAATACTTCATATCTGTATTATCTACACTTTAATGTTGCCTTTTTCTAAACTTTAAAGCAGGGGTCCACAAACTCCGGCCCCCATCAGATGTTGATGAACTACAACTCCCATGATTCTCTGGCTATCTATGTAATTCAAAGAATCATGGAAGTTGTAGTTCAGCAACATCTGGGGGGCCGGAGTTTGAGCTTTTAAAGTATCACTATAGGGTCAGGAATACAAACTTGGATTGGCTAAAATCGGCAAGGTGACGGGGCCAAACACAGTTTTGGCCAATCAGCACCTCCTCCTAGAGATGCATTGAATCAATGCATCCCTATGAGGAAAATTCAGCGTCTCCATGCTGAGCGTGGGGACGCTGAACAGCAGGACTGCTTACTGTGCAGCCCTGAGCCAGGAAGCCCCTCCAGTGGCCATCTAAGAAGTGGCCACCTGGAGGTGTCCCCTAGGGCAATGTAAACTGAAAAGGCAGTGTTTGCGTAAAAATGCCTTGAAGGGAGCTGTTATACTCACCAGAACAACTATATTAAGCTGTAGTTGTTCGGGTGACTATAGTGTCCCTTTAATTCTTACTGCAATACTACTTCCTGTTTTGTATTCAAACATTAGCATTTGGTATGAAAGCACTTTCTAGAAATCGGTGTACCCAGTTACTTGTCCCTTTTTACAATTTTATATGTGAGTTCTAAGTGATATTTCCTAGTTTCACTGATTGAGCTTGGTTACATAACATCACATTTTTGTAACATCTAATTAATTATACTAGGTGACTACCACGTCTCATTCTCATATAGGAGATTTATTCATATCCTCTCCTTCCTCCCTTTGTTCCTAGTTTACTTCCAATAAAGGAATACTTTTAGTATTTATAATACAGCTACTCTCTATATATCGCTCTAAATCATATCTCCTAATTCAATAGGTATAGTCTGCTAACCACAGTAGCTTTTTCACACAATCACATTTGTAGAGCACACTATTTTTGGTGGGTTTATATAGGTTTTATTTCAATTTATAAAGTTTGCATTTTACATTGCCATTAATCTAACTTTAAAACATATATATACTACTAATGAAAACATGCATGTGTTTAACTATTCATTGGGAGTTATATCTAAAAACCGCTTGCAAAAGCGGACAGTCAGGGGTTGTAACAAGATTAATTTATAAAAGTCCTGATTTCTGTTGAAACCTGTATCTTTTTTTTGTAAAATCTAAAAAAAGCCACTCTTCACATATAAAGTAATTCAGTAAGCTAAACAACTTAAAGGCGCACTATAGGGTCAGGAACACAAACTTGTATTCCTGACCCTATAGGGTTAAAACCCACCATCTAGCCCCCCTGTGCCCCTCATGCCTCCCTAAGTATAGTAAAATCTTACTTGCATTCAAGCCTGAATCTGCTGTCTTTGTCCTTGTTTCCTTTAGACCTGCCCACTGCCTGCTGACATCATCAGAAGTGGTAGCCTGATCCAATCACAATGCTTCCCCATAGGATTGGTTGAGACTGACAAAGTCTCAATGAATCTCTATGAGGAAAGTTCAGTGTCTGCATGCAGAGGAAGGAGACACTGAATGTTTGGATGCATTTTAGGCAGCCATGACCCAGGAAGGATCTCTAACAGCCATCTGAGGAGTGGCCAGTGAAGTTATCACTAGGCTGTAATGTAAACACGGCATTTTCTCTAAAAAGACAGTGTTTACAGCAAAAAGCCTGAAGGTAATGCTTCTACTCACCAGAACAAATTCAATAAGCTGTAGTTGTTCTGGTGACTATAGTGTCCCTTTAAGCTTAATGAATCAGTTTTATTGTATTCACTGTTGGTGGTCCATGAGGACTGGGTTGAGGGCCACTGGATAGATCATGCCCCTACAGTATCACTGCTCAATTCTCTGCCATTTTGGAAGTAAATCACTGTTTCTGTCCATGCAGCTTTAGCCGCACCTCCCCTGACTGTGACTGACACAGCCTGCATGGAGAAAAATGGTTTCATTTTCAATCAAATGTTGTAAATTACACTTTAGTTGCACACAGGAAGCTCCTGCAGGTTCTAGCCTACTAACAGAGCAGGAGATGGGAAATGCCAAATTAAACCACATTTGCAGTAAAGGGAGTTTAAACATTTGATCTCTCTTTGCAGGAAGTGTTTAGGAAGACTGTGTAAGGTATGGCTAGAGCTGCATAAACAGTGATTTAACTCCTAAATGGCAGAGAATTGAGCAGTGAGACTGTAGAGGCATGACCTATACATTGAAACTGCCTCATTAAGATAAACTTGTTTTGGTGACTATAGTTGTTCTGATTTTGAAAATTTAACTATGGCGTTCAGGCAGAATGGTGTGTGTAGAAAGGGGGAGTTGGAAGGCATTTACTTAAGTAATTTACGGAAAGGTTTATCCACAAACAATGTAATCTGTTCTAGTGAAATATACCAATATGTGGACTTTATGCCTTCACTTTATTTTATTCCCTGTGTCATTAATGTAATGTATATGAAATTTATTTTTATTTTCTATCTAGAATTGTTAGTATGAGTATAATAGTTATATTCGTGTGTATATATGTCTTTCTAAAAAGCCTTTTTCACCCACTCGATATAAACCTGTCACCTATGGTCTTCCTGTACTTCCAATAGATCTAAATGTATGTATGTGTATATAACATAGAAAATGCACTTTGGCACTAACCTGGAGGACTATTTTGTCTTCCCTCCACAGCCTGGATGTGTCTCCTCAGGTAGAAACCAGCTCCTCTGCTTCCTCCAGCTTCACCCCTGGCTCCCCTTCCACCTCCTCCCCTCCCTCTGTGGTAGCTGGTCTTATTTGCATGCCTTCTACTAACCATAGTGCAGCTTCCTATAGTGGTGTCTGTGGGAACCTACCTGCCAACAACCCATTTCTCAACTCACTACAAAACAACCCTTTCTTTGAGGATCTTCTCTCAGACCAATTACTAAATGCTTCTTCACCTACTCGCTTTTTCTCTAGTTTCCCTTCTGGGTCTATTGCTGCTTCAGAAGCTGCTGGATGGGGGTCTTCTCTTGTGGAGGAACACAGTCTGCTGGCCTTTTCTCCTTCTGCTGAAGATCAAAAGGTGCCTTCAAACCAAAGTGATCATGGGGATGTCTTACTTGAAGCTCACAAACCCAAGTTTACTACAAGCTCCATTTCTGAACCCATCACCTCTGAGTGGGAGGAACAGTTCGATGCCTTTGCTTCCAGCCGTCTTCAACCTGTTGCAGATAATCTGAGACAGCTGGAAACTAAAATACTGCATTATAATGACTCTATTAATTCTCCCTTGCACTCTGGGTTTTCCATTGAGGGAATGGGCATCCTTGCTGATAAGTCTAAGACCTCTGAAGAATCTGAACATGGTGTCAATATCTCATCTGGTATATGTAAAAGTAACCTTGGTGTGCAAGTATTGGAGACACATTGGCCAGTTAATTTTTCACAGACTGGAGAACCGAAGAATGATGACCGTTCTCCTTTTCTCACAAGTGATTACAAGCCACACATTCCTGCAGTTGAGTCCTCGAGAATCAGGACACCTGATAATATATTCATACATCATCACAGTAATGTCAAGTCTTTCTCCGATAAACCAACTGAAGGAATAGAGTCTAATAATACATCTGGATTATGGCATTTAGATGAGACTGTTTCTGTCACAGAATTATCTGTATCTAACTCCACTTCTCAAAAACCCATATCCCACAGTACTTATGCTATTGATAAAAAACTAGCTGTGGGTTCTGAAATAAGGGAGGATGACACATTACAGAAATCTGTAGAAAGTATTCGCAATATAAACAGGATAGCTGCAGTCCCTCCATTCTTATCTGGTGTCTGTGATGTGGCCAGAGTTCCATATTTCTCTAGTAGCACACTGCAGGATCATCAGTCTTCAAGCCAAAGCAGACTCTCTAATAATACCTCAACAGATACAAATCAAGTAGTTGGAGACAATAGTGTGCACATATTAGAGACATTGCAGTACCCCTTGGCAACTGCAGAGGGGGCTCATAGTGAGCCAATTTCCTATAGGCTGGGTACAGGTTCTAATGAAGAAATCATAACTAATGAACAGGCTATAGTGGGTGATCGGGTTAATGAGCCAGAAGCTAGGGTGCAGGTTTTAAGTGAACCTGTGGGGTTCATGGTGCCACCTAAGCCTCCACGGCTGCTGTCACCAACACATGAATGGAAAGAGCCTAATGGCGATAATTACAAACAAACAAGTAATCAAGACGTGAGTGCAAAACAAACACAGAGCCCAGAGGAAAAAATGCTAGAGCAAAACAATGGGGTGGGCAAACAGACTGTCTCTCCAGTGGCATGTTGTCCTGTAATTGAAGTTATAAGCCCAGTGCAGTCTATTGGTGAGGACACCCAATCCACCACTGAGGGCCTTTTGGCTAATTTAAAAGAAGGAAATAATGAACTAACAAAGCTGGGTGCCACTAATGGGGAACACCTGTTAGATGTAAATGAGTCGACATTGGCTGAGCAATTCCGGACTTGCCCTTCAAAAGTCTCACTAGACGTATTAGACCTGTCTAGTGCTGAGAAAAGCTCAAATAAATTGGATGTTTTGAAATATGGCCCAGGCACCAAGTTAATTAACCATGAGTCATCTACAGCACTTACTAATCCGGGTGACAGTAAGCCTGAGAGTGAGAAATTCTCACATCTACTGACTGTGTCCAAAGAGGAAAAAGACCATGTGAAAGAACGCTCAGGTTCTTCTCATAAGGTTGACAATTCTGGGCTCTTTTGGTCTGCTCTAGAGGAGCCGCTACATAACGTAGCTGACCATGGTAACGTCATACAGAATACAGAAGTTACACCGTGTGATAATGTATTGCCAGAATGTGAAGGTATAACTAACAGAGACAAAAATTTTAGAAATATGAAGGAGTCCAAATCCAACCTTAAAATTCCAAGGTTGGATGTTGCTAGCAAGCCACAACCTGACTTTGTAGATCCCGTATCGCAACTAAGCAGAAAAGAATTGACAACAGAAAGCCAATCTGGTCTTTCTTTGAGCCACTTGTCTAGCTGGTCAGCAGATATAGTTGTGGACTTTAAGAATGAAGGTTTTTGGAAGTCAGAGTCCGACCTCTTAGAGGATGCGGACGAAAAAAGTGTACCTTCACCTGGCAATCCATTTACATCTACTGAGAAAACTCCACCAATCCTGAGCCACAAAAACCCTTTTATTGAGCATCCACAAAGTGATCAAAGTACTGAAACTTCATTGCAGGAAGATTTGAGTTTCAAAGACCTTCATGTGCAAGCAGCGTTTAGAGATCTCCCACCCACTACCCTCCCTTCTAAAATGAAAATTCCCTCCTTGCATGACCGCCAACCACTGGCATTCTCTACTCCCTCCCTGGTTGCCACACAAAATCCTAAGTTATCCAACTTCCCTTCTCCAATTATATCTCCTACAATCTCTGGGTTCACCAGTGTGAAGAGTACTCATGCAGCAGCTCTTGCCTGTTTCCAATCTCCTCCTACCAGCTGTGTGGTGAAAACCAGCGCACTCTCCGTTCTGCCTCAGGAGACACTGCCGGCTGAAAATCCATTAATGCCACTGAGAACCAGGTGAGAACGGTGTGAAAGGCATGGTATGTTTATGCAATTATATAATCAAGATGTGGATGTCTTCGTGGTGGTAGACCTTTTTCACTCTGCTGATTACTTTTTACCAATATGTATTGTGTAAGTGGCGCATAGACTTGAAAACCTAATGAGTTTAAGTCCCTTAACAAACTATTCAGTAACTAATAATCATTATTGGTGATATCCCTTCAAGTTAAGCAGCATTGCAGAGCCATCCATTATTTTACTTTTTTATATATATAATTTTATTTTATTTATATATATTATTTTTTTGTCCTGCAATGCAATACATGATTTGTAGGTGCAGCTGTGCTATGAGAAGCATTTGATTGGACGAGGTGGATGTTGATTGCTGCGCATGCACTTCTTGCTTGCTACCCCCAGTGCTTCTCGATGGTGTCCTGATCTCTGCCTCACCATGCCTGGCTGTTTAGCAGACCTATCCGAGATCCTAAAACACACAATATTTACATTACATACAAGCAGTCCTTCGTACATTGCATTTCTACTTAGAATAACTGAATAAGGCTAGCAGCCCTTAATGTATACACAGCCATTGGGGCCTGATGGAGAGGTCCAACCATGACAACAGGGAGCAGAGCGACTGCACATCAAAATAAAGAATTTTAAAACTAAGTTACACATGGTAAACCTGAGTAGGTGTGTCTCGAACAGGAAAGTCAGGCTGGCAATGTCACCACAGCACAGACCAGGGCTTTGAGGAGCCCAGCAGGCTGTCTCTCATGGTGCCGGTTTGTGCATTGGCATTAGATAAGAGTGACCCAGAGATCATTGTTAATAATATATATTATTGACAGGGACTTCAGGGGCACTTATAGCTATTGCTGTTCTATAGAATGGATACTCAAAATGCACTATATATGCATACTAGCGCTCAGGTTTGAAATGTCAATTAAATGTTAATTTGGTTAAACAGAAGAAAAAAGGGGGGGGGGGGAGGCATTACATTCTGCTTGGAACAAAAAAGAAAGCAATCTAGAATCTGTAGTGCCCTAAAATCTTTGCTAATCTATTCTTGTGAAATAAAATTATTATTAAAAAAAAAAAAAAAAAGGACGAGGCTTTTACTAAAAGCAAATTAATATTCTCAAATCCTTTAATGAATACAGCAATATTTCCAAATGTAAATATCATGTAAAGTAGCTAAATTGGGAAGCCTTTAAATATTAGCCTTGTACTTGACATGTGACCAGATTCATTTCTCTAGTATTCAACCCCAATGTATGAACAAACATAAAATACCTCTACTACATTCCATACACCAATGTAAATTTTGTGGGGTTTTCACTCTCATTTTATTTTTGTTTTACTACTGCTTACCCTCACCCACTCAAAGTGCTGTTAATCCACACATGTAGACCTTTTCTGGATATTGACATGTTATGTGCTTAAAGGGACACTATAGTCACCAAAACAACTTTATCTTAATGAAGCAGTTTTGGTGTATAGACCATGCCCCTGCAGTCTCATTGCTCAATTCTCTGCCATTTAGGAGGTAAATCACTTTGTTTATGCAGCCCTAGTCACATCTCGCTGCATGTGACTTGCACAGCCTTCCTAAATACTTCCTGTAAAAATAGTTTTAATGTTTATACTGCATTTATTGCAAATGTGGTTTAATTTAGAATTTCTTATCTCCTGTCCGGTTAATAGCCTGCTAGACCATGCAGGAGTCTCCTGTATGTCGTTATAGCTCAATATACAGAGCAAAAGATAAAAAGGTTTTAAAGTAAGTTACATCTGATTTTAAATGAGACCGTTGTGAGTCACAACCAGGTGAGGTGCGGCTAGAGCTGCATAAACAGAAACAAAAGCGATTTATGTCCTAAATGCAGAGTCCTAATCTATACATAAAAATTGCTTCATTAAGCTGAAGTTTGTTTGGTTTCTATAGTGTTCCTTTAAATTACAGACGCCCATATCCCTTTACAAAACAGAAGCCCCCTGGCTTTACTCTACCCCCATCATGGCGTATAGTTTGCAAAAGACAGCTTGAGCTTATTAATGAGACATTTTGAGTCTTTTCACTTGTCGTGTCATCAACAATTTCTTTTAAACTTGGCATTTCACAGGCATTGTTCATTGTAACGCAGTCCAGCAATGGAAAGTACAATCTAGGCATGGACCAGACACCGAGATTACCTGTAGCTCAGCACTATGAGTGGATAAGCATTGGAGCTCTGTGAAAGCAGAGGCCATTAAAGTGTGCGCTCACGTGCCGATTTAAAAAGACACTGTATAGTTTAATCCAACTCGTAACCATTCATCTTCTTGCTTTCAGCTCACCGTGACTCTGCCGAGGCCTGGGAGGTCTGGCTTAATGTTGGCAAATTTAAAACCGTTTCCAAACTTGGCTATATGGGCTTAAAATGTCAATTCTTCCCAGTTCATAGTTTCAGAAATAATCCTCCTTTAGTAAATATGTGAAATCATACAATTCTCAGAACCTAAATCTGACTTTAAAATTATAGCGATATCAATTAAACCTTTCAGTAAATAAATTGCATTGTAATCTAAATTAGGGAATACATATATTCTGTTTTGAATAGGTTATACCCGTGTAGATGTGTATGATTTTGATAAACACCTCACATGTAGAAAAAGATCTCCATTTAGCTTTGTTTTCTAATTTGCTTACTGAGAGACTGTGTTGTCCAGCACACCAAGATAACTTCTATACCAGCAAGTCTTAACATGTAAGCTACCGAGTTTGCCTCGTTTTCTGTACTGAATCTCCCTTGGGAGTGTCTTGTTTCTTTGAGGAAAATGCTTGTCAGGTTTTTCTGAGCAGCATTTGCAACATAAGTCATTGATGTCATCAGTTAATGTGTTTTAGAAGTATTTGATCTGATTGTGTGATTAAGGGGTGTCCCAAATGGACTGGATCTTAGAACGGTGGTTTTGTACCAAGACACACTTTAGTGGGCGAAAATGTTTAACTTTTTCCTAAATTAGCAGGTTTTACATGTCACAATTAGAGCCCCGCTATAGATGCATATTTCTAGCTACACTGACTTGCTATCCCTTCTTAAGCCCTAGAAAAATATGCATGCCAGCCCCATACGTCATTGTGCCGTGTTTGTGTATGTGAATTTTATGTTTATACTCCATCATCTGGGGTTGCAAAATCTTTGATTTGAAAATGTTCTAATAATTTATGACTGACACAAGCTCATTAAAACGCATGCTTACAGACGGTCACATAAGTTCACTGAAATAAAAATACAAGCTCACAGACAGGCAATCTCACTGACGCGCGCGCGCACACACACAAACTTAGTACAGGCAAACTCATTAGTATACAAACAGAAGCTTACTACAGAAAAGCTTACTGTCAAACACACACTACAGACAAGCTCACTAACACACATGCTCACTTTAGATAATATCACGGACACACAAGCTCACTACAGATCTGCTCACTGATACACATGCTCATTACAGACAAGCTCACTGTCACGCTCACTATGGTCAAGCTCACTGCCACACACACGCTTATATGTCTAGCACACCATATATATCTAGCACACACACGCTTATTAAGGTCACGCTCACTATGGTCAAGCTCATTGCCACACACGCTCACTGCCACACACACACACACACACACATGCTTAATAGAGACAAGCTCAGTCACTAGTAGGCGCATACACACCATACCACTGTCATGGGCTTAGCCCTACCTGGCACTGAAGGCTCTGGGAGCACTGTGGGGGAAGTTGTCTCTCTCTGGCCTCTTCCCCTCAGCGAGGTCAGCAGCTTGCATGCAGCCTGAATTGCTGTAAATTGGGGGCCCCCAGCACCTCCCTCCTTAATTTCCTCGGACTGACACAGGCTGTCCAAGTCTGAAGGTAAAATAATTTATAGCTTTAACCTAATATTTAGGGCTGTCAGTCTGGCCTTGACAGTTACACAGTACTTGCCTTTTTCCAACTGCTTCCTCTTCTCTTCCTCTTTGTTGCCATCGGGGGTCTTTGCGAATTTTGCAAAGTTTCCAGACTGTGATAGTGCCACTTTAGAGACTGTATAGGCACCCAGACCACTTAATCTCAATGAAGGTGTCTGTGTGTCTGTTTAACCCCGGAAATGAAAAACGTGGCATTTTGCAGGAACCGCAATGTATTTAGATGCCCAGCATCTAAAGCTGAATTAACCTTGGTTATAGCTCTGATTCTCACTGATGGCGTTTTATTGGCGTAGTGCAGCGTTTGCTGCGGATACGGACATATCTCCCAATACTTCCTTATGTAGAAGCATTGGATCGGCTGAGATCATTAAGACTGATAATATCCGCTATGGAGATGGAGACCAGCAAACCGTGGGATACAACACGGTGGGGGGAGGTTGTGTGGACACCTACATAGGTAGGGGAGCACTATGGCATTAGGATTACATGTTTGTACTCCTAATAGGATAGTGCTCCTTTAATTAATGCTGAATACATAGAGGCTGTATTCCACTTATCACCGCTTTAACATCAATGTGCACTGGGGGCACTAGTTTACTTCCGCAGGCAGATTGAAAACCACAGTTGCTAAAGAATTGTTTCTCTCGGTTGGTTGTAAATTATGAATATGGTCAGATATATGTTCTAGTACACAGTCTGGTTGTAAAGTTTATGTACCGGAGAACTGTACTTGAGAACCCACTACACTGGTAGTTTTTAGTGTACACTCTAAGCATTCTCAAGACAGGCTTGATAATTAATCTTCAACACTCCACAAAAAATACACCCCTAAATTCACACACACAAACTGATACTCCACACATACACCCCTAAATTCACACACACAAACTGATACTCCACACATACCCCTAAATTCACACACACAAACTGATACTCCACACATACACCCCTAAATTCACACACACAAACTGATACTCCACACATACACCCCTAAATTCACACACACAAACTGATACTCCACACATACACCCCTAAATTCACACACACAAACTGATACTCCACACATACACCCCTAAATTCACACACACACTGATACTCCACACAAATACACCCCTAAATTCACACACACTCACATACTCCACACATACACCCCTAAATTCACACACACACTCCTACACCACACACATACACCCCTAAATTCACACACACACACACACACACACACAGATACTCCACACATACATCCCTAAATTCACACACACTGATACTCCACACAAATACACCGCTAAATTCACACACACACACTGATACTCCACTCAAATACACCCCTAAATTCACACAAATACACCCTTAAATTTACACAAATACACCCCTAAATTCACACACAGTGCAAAATTACACCTCTGCATTTACGTGCGCACTGACACTCCCAGGACAAAACACCCCTGCATGCACACACCTAAATTTACACAATATTAATCCCAAAAGAGGTAGGGAGCATGATGTTAAATGACTTTGGTTTTCTAGCAATGACAAACATTTGTACATAACCTAGTAAAACATCATATGTAATTAGGAACGACTGATCGGTAATGCTCTCTGTTTCCGGTTTCAGGACTCTCTTGCTGTCTAGATGGGGGTTAAAGTTGTATGTGGGTTTTTTTTTTTCTTTTTCTTCTATAAGGTAAATTCCTCTCTCAAATTACGTCACACATTATTTACAATGACACTCCATGAAAGAGGCATTTAATGTCCCCTCAAACAGAACACTCATCCAGAGCTGCCATGCAGGAACATAATTACTATTATCTACATAGCTAGGGCAGCATATTCCACAGCACTGTACAGTAGGTAAACAAGACAAACACTAAACTCTAACAAAGCAGGATTTAAATACTGGAAATGTAAGTGATGATGGCCCTGCCCAAAGGAGCTTACAATCTAAAAGATAGGGGATGGATGCAGTTGTACCAGTGAGTTTTCTACCAATGCTCAGTCTGAAACTGCGACCTCTAACCTGAAGTCATCTGGGACATGATTAAATGACTGTATAATAATCTGTGTTTGCTTTTTTCCCATGTTATGCTCTTTCAGTCCTCATCCTGTGAAGCCTATAAGTGCCACACTGTCTAGTGGCGACCAAGAGAAGAAGCCTAACAAACCAGCGCTGACCGCGGCTCTGAGCAGTGGTCTGGAAGTGCTGAAATCTGTGACTGGCGGACAGCAGCAAGCACCGAAAAACCCTGACCTGGACAGAGTTAAGGTAATTGCTAGGCTTTGTTGCTTCCCTCCTTGGTGACACTCTGTATTAATCATGTAAAGTTTATACTTTGCCTGTCCCCGGTGCCAGCTGCAGTGACAGATTTAATTATGTTTGGCCCTCAGAGAGCAGGGCACAGATCACCTCCTGTCACCAGGGTTTGCTCACACCACGGTTGGTGTATAACTTGATTAATAAGCTGTGGTTTACTCAATGAGGCTCTGGGACCATTGTGAGGGCTCCCAGTGGATAGGAAGGTTAAGATGTTTGCCCTGTAAAAACAGCTAGGCACAGTCTCTGACAGCAGATCCATTCCACAAGTTATTAACTATTTCGATGTGGAGAGAGTTGGGCAGTATTTTGTCAGGAAGCAGATTACATATCATTTTGTACATGATTTAAACATACTATAACAATGCTTTATTGTGTGTGTGTGTGTGTGTGTGTATATAGATATTCATAGGTTTCTCAATGATCTGTCTGGGTAGAGTAATTTGGAAAGAGCTGATACCAGGGGGTTTATTTACCTGACCTTAAACTGTGGGGAATCGAAAACCAAATTGCAAAAGTGAGAGCAAAATAGTCAAGGTAGAGAAATTTACCCAATCTGCTATTTTAACCTGAGTTTTTGCAATTCCGTTTTTAATTCACTACAGGTTGACGGTGAATAAACCTCTAGGACAGGGGTTCTCAACTCAGTCCTCAAGGACCCCCTACCAGTCCAGGATTTAGGGATTACCTGGGTGTGTCTAAGGTGTTTAGAGTCCAAGATGTTTTTTTTTTGTTTTTTGTTTTTTTTCATTTTCTAAACACCTTAGACACAAAGTCCTGGACTGGTAGGGGGTCCTTGAGGACTGAGTTGAGAACCCCTGTCCTAGAGGTTTATTCACCGTCAATCTGTAGTGAATTAAAAACGGAATTGCAAAAACTCAGGTTAAAAAAGACCTGTGCAAGTGGGACTTTTGTTGGTATTGGGAGAGGATTGAACGGGGGGATTATTTGTAATTGAAAGGTTTTGTAGATACATACTAGTTGTTTGACTGCAGTGTTATTTTGAGAAGGTTGATAGTTGAGGTATTGACCTGTAATTATGGAATGGGGTTTGGTTTTGGTATCGGGTGTTGGCATAGAGCTCTTTATTTTCCGTAGGGCTTTCTCACGTCTAATGTATTTTTCAGGATATCTGCTCTCCAGACATGGCGGCCAAGTATTATCACTTGACCCACGACGAGTTGATCCACATGCTGCTGCAGAAAGAGACTGAGCTTGGCAGAAAGGAGAATCATGTGCGTGAGCTGGAAGACTACATTGACAAATTGCTTGTGCGCATCATGGATCAAGCACCAACACTGCTGCAGGTCCCACTGGAGACCAAAATGCAGAAGAAATAAAAAAAAAAACTTGCTATTAAAGTTTATAAAGCTAATGGGGGTATAACCTGTGATGGTGTCAGAAACACCCAACATCCTTAGGTTTCCCAACCATTTAAATCCCATAAAATGTTCTGTTTATCTAAATAAATCTTCCTAAGGTAGTAGGAATGTTCTTGGTTTATACATGGAAACAGTTGGTTGTATTTGTCTTAACGTGTTCTCTCGACCCTTTATTTGGAATTTTCCTAATTTTTCCAGTGAGGACCTTGAACATAAATGAGACTGGACCTACTGACTGTGTGATATCTGTTTAAATCTTTTCTAAAGGTCTCCACATTTTTTGTCACCTGTCAATTGATTTAAGGTCAAGTAGTCTTAAGTAATTCTTGCCACAGGGAGAGAGAACTTATTACAATAGTATACAAGGCTCCCTTATCGCCTGAAGGTAACAAACTTGGCCGTACACCTGAAAACTTAAATGCTTTATGTTCATTGTTCAGTTTTCCCTCAGAGGAGCCCATGTGTTTTCACGTTATACCATCTGCTTTCCAGTTAGTAGTGGTGATTGTTTAGTGCTAATGCACCAGACTCCGTAATCCAAAGTTTTTGAAAAATGTATTTGAGTGTTCCCGCTACATGACACAACCCCTGCTGGAGGAGTGCTATTGTCCTAAAATGCTCATAAAGGGCAAGTAGACCATCTTGTATTCCAAAGCAATCCATTTACCAGGATCACTTCTAAGACATGAGTAAACCTGTAAATTGATGGTCAAAAATGAATTTGGTTGGGGAAAATGGGTCTGGGTGTCCTTTTACGCTTGATATTGACATTTCTGTGGATTAGAACAAAGCAGTCTTTATGCACCCCTACCATTCCAGCCATTCTCTGTATCTCCATTGGAGTGGAACCGAGAATCCCTGAAGTGCTATGTGTGAATGAGGACTGCTGTGATAGCTGACCAATAATTGTTATTGCTGTGGTTTACTTTGTGCCTCTCCCCATGCACATTTAGTTAACATTGGAGAATGCATTCCTAGTGAGTGGTTGTTTCTAAGCCAGCTTTAGGTGAGAAACTTGGTTTCAACAGAACGTCATTCTATAGCGGGTCTACTAGACTAAGAGTTTGGGAAGAAACCTTTAGGTGCCGTGGAAAATGGATGTCTGTGTATATATGCTCAGGTTTAGTCCCAATAACCTCTGTATCCATGAAACATGCTGGATGCCATGAGTTGACACATGGTGGACAAAGTGCAATATGTCAGCCAGTTTAGATCCTGGTTACCATGACCCTGCAGTGGGAAAAACCTGATGAAATGCATCCACGTAGGAAACTTTGTGTAATTTTCTTTTTTTTTTTTTTTTAATGGTTTGTCTCTCCAGACCCGCTGTGTCCTTGTTATACACTTCTTTCCAAAACTATCCATAACAGAATTGCATTGAACTTTTAGAGTTTCCATATTTCCATAGAAATGCACAGTATTTGCAGCATGCTGCTAAATGATTTAAAGAATGAAATAAGCTTCAGTATTGTAACAGACACTCAATGTGCCTTTTCCTATTCTTCATAGTGCGAACATGAAAAACATATAGAAACATGCAGTGCATATGCTTTCACTTCTGAGATATTTATGTTTATAATATAAGTAATATTTAAAGGTATTGAGGGTTTTGTGAGCTAGCTTTTTTTGCCTAAACAAATGTTTCCCCAAATTTAGTGACTGTATTGGGCAGGATGTTACTGCTAGTTAAGACCCTCTTGCAGTAATGTATAGATCAGAACGTTTTTGTTTTACTCGTGTATATCCAAGACAGCTTGTGCAGGCATGATTTCCAGCTATATCCGTGCAACTTCTTTCCCATACCTGGTTTGTCCCTACACGATCCTTCCTTTGTCCATCTGTGGTCAGAAGTTCTGAAGAAGCCTTCCACAGGTTTTCGTTTGTTGCCAAACCGTTATTTTTATAAACCGGTAAAACACAAATTCTTTGTATAAGATGTTGCTTATTTTTTTCATTCTTAGCGATTTCTGTCCAGCAATATTTCACAGTTGTCAATTCTGCATATATGTAAATGTATACGTTCATGTAAGCAATCCTTGTTCTAGTAATGTGTTGACTAATCACTGTGTGCAGAAGACCATCCATACAAACGCAACTAAACATGGCCATTACAAGTTCTTCTAGTTAACCCTAGAGTACTTTCTTAATGGTGCTTCATAAATAATGATGTGGACCCTTTGGTGGTCAGAGGCTGTTGCAGGCAGATTTTGATAAGCTCTGATTCTCTGTTGAGCTTCAATGTCCATCATGCTTAATCAGAGAGACGGTGAAAATAGTAATCCAGAGCAACCATAGGTTCCCTGTTCATGTTTGTTCAATCAGATGAATTTGTGTGCTGTCTGCCTTACCTGAATTGCCTTATCTGGTCCCAGCGCGAATTGGTCGGTTATCTAGCATCACCGCAAACTAGGTAAGGGAGGATAGACAATTTGTCATTGCTATGAATGTTTTATAAAGCTGCTATATGCTACACATAGCTCAGGTTTACTGTATAAACTGTGTAAAGCAGTCTTCCAATCTCTTGTGTGAGCTGGGCATTCGCTCCTTATAATAAACTGGTTCTCCAAGAGAATCTGTACACAAATGCCGGTTGTGTATATGTGGAATGTAGGTTCGTTTTTATAGGAAGTGGCAGGGGTGCCCATTCCTGTGCTGGGTCAAAAATGCCTTCATCTGAGGGGAAAAAGACTAGAATTGCATCATATTTTTTTATACTGTCTGTTTTGGGGGAAGGCAGGGGTCAGATATTTATAGAAATCTATAAACTGTTACAAATGGTATGTTTTATTGGGGAACATTGGCTGCAGACACCTGGTTTGTCTGTATGATGTATGGGTAGGTGAACCATAATGGTTTAAATGTAAAAAGCCCCAGCAGGACATTCCACCTCGAGGATAGCTGGACCCCCACGTTAGCAGTTCTTGCTGTGGTTGGTTTTCAGGCGCTGCCTTTCCCAATCTTGCCAGTGGTTCCGCCGAGCGTGTTGACCAATGTATGACTTATTCCAGTATTAAAAGTGATTACCTTTGAGTTGTTTTGTATTTCATTAAAGGTGGAAAATAAAACCTTCATAGCCTTTCAATCGACAATCTTCTCTAAAGCTTTAAATAGCTCTATGAGGCAGTCCGCTGTTCATCCACTGATCCTTGAAGGTTATATTTTTTTGTCACCAACTCCCACCAGGATTTCTTGCCAATCGTGGAAGTTCTAGCATAACGCAAGACATTCTAACAAAAATCAGCCCTTAGTAGACCTCCCTTCCTGCTTTACAAAAGACAGATCTTTTCAAGATTACTTGAGTGTTTTGATCTGTAATGCTCCATAAAGAATTTGTAAAGATTATATCAAATTTCTACAAATGTTCATTAGCGTGGTGATGAAAAGTTAAAACGTGTAAAACTGGAATAATTTGATCACCAACCTAAAATGTAATTCATTAAAGCAGCATTTATCTCAGGCCAGTTCTAGTCTTGTGGCAGGTGGTTTTATAGGAGGTATTGGCTGACAAAATCCATGCTTGCCCACTTCAGTTTACAACTTACTGTGGGGCCCTTTTAAGGTTTTTCAGACCAGAGTATTTCATAATATAGTATAGCCTTGTGATTTGGACCTTTTGGGTGATTTTGGGTAAATATTCCCTTACTACATGAGCTTTTCACGCAGATCATCTTTTCTTTACGCAGTTAGACATGTGCCAATCTGCTTTTCTACTGCTGAGAACAAACGTTAATTGTGGTGATTTAAAAAAAGCAAACTGACTTTATACCAAATTAACACAAGTGAAAAATGGATGAATTTGATCATTTTTCTAGTACAGCTTTTTTTTTTTGTCCTACAGTTTTAAATTTGTTTATCATTTCATTGTGTACGGATTATTTCGTTCTCAAAACCCCGAATGTACCCACAGGGAGCTCTTATGTTGATGGATAATGTGGGAGATGTCGGTTGATCCTGAGCTGATATTGCCTATTTGTTTTGGGTTATGGGATAATTATCCAGTTGTTTTGGGTCAACACACTCACAATGTTCTCTATTAAGTCTACCTGCATCAATTGCTCTACCAAATATGTATTTTATATTTACTGTTGCTGATGTTCAGAATGTTAGTTTTATTTTTAAGCACTTTAAAAATAATAAAGTCTGTTTAAACTTTGGTCTGTGTGTCTGTGTATCAGGAGTTCAATTTGCCTTAAAGTTGATAACTTATATAAAACCAAACAATTTTCATATGGTTAGTCATTGCATTTTGTGTTTTGGTAGTAGCTGTACAGTTCACATATTTTGCGTGACCTTAAACAGCATGCTACTCAATGGGGAGACTGAAGACTAGTCACTAAAGGTGATCATCATTAGTGGTTATTAGTCGCCCAACACCTTGGTAATGGGGCAATTTTTTAGCAATAGTTTGCCCTCTTACATGGGTCCTTGTTGGGCTCTAAAGCTCTCTGGTGGTCCGGGGACGCGCTTCTTGTTTCTGCAGAGCCACAGAAGCTGCGCCTGTTGCCAGTCATTGGCTGAGAATGTCAGCTGACTGCTCTCTGCTAATGACTGACATACTGTGCAGTAATAGTTGCTAAGTTTAGATTTGCCAGCACAGAACTGTAGTATTGAGCTGGCTGATGACATCCCAATGATGTGACCAGAAGTGGAGTTACACCTCCGGTAGCAGGGGTTTAATATTTGAGTGTTTTCATGGCAAAACACTCAAAGGGACACGAGTCACCAGAACAACTACCGCTTGTTGTAGTTTACTGGTGCCTATAGTATGTCCCTGCAGGATTTTGGCCGTAAGTGTTTACATTACAGCATAGGAACATCTCTAGTGGCCACTCCTCATACTGTCACTAGAGCAGCACTGATATTCAGACTCCATGCTCTGCGTGGAGATGCTGAACCTTCTTCATAGAGATGCATCTGAGGAGATGCTGGTTGGCTGGGGTGGTGTTTGGCTCTGTCCTTGCCTTGCCTCCTTGGCTGAAATAAATTCTGATGTCGGCCAAGAAACTGCATCGGGGGCAGAGCCAGCGTCGGCAGCCAAACACAGATGAGCTTTCACTATATTAAGGAGGGGCCAGAGGACTGAATAGTGTTTTTAACCATGTAGGGTCAGGAATACACATTTGTATTCCTGACCCTACAGCCTTCCTTTAACATGCAGGTACCAGTCATCATGCCCCCTTTAAATCACAGGAGTGTTCAGTGCTTGGAGTAACCCTTTAAACGCAGAACAGTAACTAAACTGCAGCGACTGCAGTTCTGTTCTCAAAATTCATCTGTTTTAACCCATTCAGTTTTAACCAAAAGGCAAATTTGATTAGGTCAGCCACGTGTATTTCCATTTGGCAGCAGTTCCGTATGAATAACAGCAGCGTTCACACTAAACCAAGCTCTATGCACGCGCACTATCAGCGCTGAAGTCAGCATTTCCATATAACTGAAGAGGGTAGACTTGCCATGAGAGAACGGGGAAAGTAATGTAATATTTTCCATGCACTGGAACGATGGATTATTGATCATGATGATATGGAAAAGAGTTCCATGTTGGCTGCCATCTTGCCGCAGTTCCATTTAACAACTATTTGCAACCGGATATCACATCAGCATAAAGATCCATTTTAAATTAGCAGAGAGACACTTGGGTCAGTTTGTTTAGCATTCACTTGTTGGTGTAAACTAAATGCAGGAGAATTAAGCAAAATTCATTTAGAGACTAATTTGTAAAAGCAGAGGGGAGATTATGGCACATTAAATTTGGTTTGTAGGATCTTTACCAAAATCAGGTACAGATTAAGTTGAAAGCCTCCATGCTGTAGGCGATAGTCCTCCCAGAAATCTCCAGCTCAGGAGAAAGTCTGGCTACTGCCATCTTTGATGAACAGCACACACTATAGGTAGTCCTTATCATTTCTCCATGCCCCAAGGGTAACTGAACGCCATAGCAGAGGGGACAGCGATGCTCCACTGGACGGTAGGTTGGCCGCCCCTCCTGCCAGAACAATCTGTCATTCCTCAGCTATCAGCAGCTAGAGCGATCTACAAGCCCAAAGCAGGTTTGTGCAAAATGTAAAGAATGGAGCTTCTGTGAACTTCCATACAGGGTGACACCTGAGCATGTTAAATTCTTTGGATGAAGCATTAATAATCTGTTTAATGTCAAATGGCTGCAGAGCTTCCACAATCTGCTTCTGTTCAGCTTTTCTGCAGGTCCCAAACACCCAATTCTGACATTTTTGGTCCTCAGTGATTTCTCCAGAACTACTCCATGTCATTTATTTTATATATTTCCCCATAATACATACTTCACCATGTGATGGTATTCACTCTACAAATGTTCATTTCTAACATCTTTAGCTGACTGCAACACAATTGGCGAATTATAATCCCAAAACCGTAGCCTAGGGCGCTCCCGGGTCGCCTTTATCCGCGGTAACACTGTATTTCCTCAGATGTGTTAGTGGCATCAGGCTTTTGGACCTTGTAGCTCCTTTCTCGAGGTAATGGCCATACCCATAATCACAAACTATATATCAATTAACTGTAAAAAATATATTTAGTTACCCCTTACCTCCGTGTTCCCAGGACAGTGAGAGAAACAGATAAGCTGTGAGTGCCCCAATGTACATGGTGCTAAATTTTATAGGCAGACGTGCGTACACTGTTTTCACACAGAATGGTTATAAAGGTATCTTAAGATATGGCCTTTATCTTCTAAGACAGATTTTTCTTAAAGCTAATTCTTCTGGCAACAACTGGTGTAGTCATTTTTAATGGGATTTGCACACGCATACTGCCAGAAGTGCACACATAGACAAACAACGCTACATACTGTATATCTCCTCCACCATCTGAAGCGTGGCTGAGCACCCACTGGAGTCTGCTTCCCTGCACGCAATGACACTACTCGGCTGGTACTTTGAGACTCGTGTTCTAAGAAGTATCAGTTGTTCTGATGTAAAAACTATCCCTGTGACCGTGTACTTTTTATGAAAGGTTAGAGTTTAATTTGAGATTTAACACCATTTACAGCTGTTGTAGTCTAGGATCAAACTGATAAGATCAATCGCTCTGAAATTGGATCTTCTTCCTCCTACTCTGTGACTTGATAAAGGTTTATGCAGAAATAATACTGGCATTTTTTTCAGTTTCTTTAATAACGTCTGGAGATTATACTCAACCTTAACACCTACACACCCACCACCCCCTCCAACAAAAAGAAAGACCTGAAACCCTGAGCAATCTAAAAAAATAAATACAAATGTTTGTGTATGTATATGTGTGTGTATATATATATATATACACACAGTGAGGGAAACAAGTATTTGATCCCCTGCTGATTTTGAACGTTTGCCCACTGACCAAGAAATGATTAGTCTATAATTTTAATGGTGAGAACAAAATGTAGAGATAAAATCAATACCAGATAACCGGGCGCCACAATCACTATGATTGCCAGTTTATATGGAGTATTCTCCCAAATAGATAGAGAGAATAAAAAACAATTAGTAAGAATATTGTACAATATATTGAAAAATACAATTTAAAATTCCAAAATTTCAACAGAAATAATTGAGCAACAGCACAAGGAGTTAATGTGCAACAATTGCAATCATAAGCCTTAACAGGCATAAAATAATCCTTTATGGATAGCAGCTAACTTCCAACATAGCACAAAACCTCATAATACAGAAAAGAAAAGTGCAAGTGCTAAAGTGCAAATCGATTCAAGTGAGGAAAAGTATAAAATGCTTGAATGGCAGCTGAGACCCACTATTCCGGTCCGACTTCCTCAGGAGCTTCTGTCTTCTTCCCGGCTTCTTCCTTTTAAATTAGTCAGTTCATGCATCTTGTTTGGTCACCGCACATGTGCGAACAATGCCGGACGCGAGTCGACGTCATACATCATGACGCGTGGGCAGCTGATTCGTGCATGCGGAGCCTAGCTGGAATGCAAACTAACTTTATTGGTAATCTACACAGCCGCATCTCCGAACATATAAGCTTAAAAACTTTCGGAATCTTAGCGGTTCGTGTTTACAATCCTGTCTATATGTATCTATATTCTAACATAGAGAAAGCTAACGTTACAAAGGAATATATAAATTGGACTTAATGTAAAAAATAGATTTGTATTAAAAACCAAAAGTTGAAGGTGAAAAATGAATAAAAATATAATATATGATATGTATGAAAGTGGTCCATTTATATATGTACATCAAATATACATTCCACCCTTGTTGCTTGACCTCAAACATTCATAAGAAGGGAATATCAGAAATGTTCCCTATTATACAGGAACAGTTATATTCAGAATTCACATATCATAAGTTGTGAAAATCACAAATGGTCAGTTTTTCCATATTATTAAAAATATCTATCATGACCAGAAGGAATAATCAAATCTATATAAAAAGATATACAAAATAATATATAAAACCATAAATAAGGTAAATCTGAGGTATTTTAATAATGTAAACCCAAAAATTCATATTGTGTCAAATTATATATAGAGTACATAAACATATCTAAAAATATAAAAGACATATTGAATAACAATAAAAATACCAATAATAATAAAAATCTTAAAAATAAGAACAGATGGAACAAAGGGAGATAAAAAGAGAAAGATAAGGCCAGAGGGTACAGAGGATTTCAATCTATAGATCCACTCTGTCTCCGTCATGGCTAGCATTTTTTCTGTATCCCCATCCCTCTAATGCATAAAAAGTTATTAAAATTAGAATCTTTACAAGTGGTGCAGTGTCTTGGGACGCTATGTTTGAAGTTCTTTTTGTTGATACCATTAAAATGTTCTTATATCCTTATATGTAATTTTCTGGTGGTGGGTCCTACATATTGGACACCACACTTACATCGTAATAAACTACAAATCTACTTGGACAATTGATAAAATGCTTAGTGTCAGAAACATTCCATGCCCATATATATAAAAAATACATAGCTTAATGTTCTCTTTTGAGCAATTTCAATCAAGTGTATATCCAATTTCCAGAGCTCCCCCATAGCTGGTGTTCGTCTATACGAATGGCGGCTACCCAGGGGAGCACTCAATTACTTCCTTCGTGGTTTCACACTTATGTTACGGGTGTGAACGTTCTGATGAATTGGTATGAGCGTTCTAATGGGCACCGGGAAG